TGGATAGCTATTGTCTCTGTGAGGTAGGCTCTGGAAGCCTCTACTTCTTGGACTCTATATTTACTTTATCCCTATTCCCCTCCACTCTTCTATAATACGTCCGTAGGAGCGCCACTTCTCTGTAGCGAAGACGAAGAGGTCTTGAGTCTGGCGCGTCTTTGAAGATTATATTGATGTATTTATTATTCATTATAGCGTTACCGATGGGCACCCTAACCCACTGCATCAAGCCTCACCCAAGGCCTGCTTCCTCGACTTCGAGCGAGTATCAAAGTACGGGGCTTCACCCAGACTGCAGACCCGGTCGCCAGCCCGAGCCTCTGCGTAGTCGTATGTGGCACAGTGCCAGGTCGATCGATTATCCCAAACGGCCAAATCATTCTTGTTCCACCGGAAGCGAACCTGCGCGTCGTGGTTTTGGGTAATGAGCTACGAGTAGATCTGTCAGTCCACCTGCCACATATTTCTGAAGCTGTCTGCTGGCAACACTCACATTGAACAGATAGGCGAGCAACACGTCGGATTCATCCTTGGTGACCCCATTGATGCGCTTTGTGAACCCTTTATTCACATATACGGACTTCCAGCCGGTAACAGCTATGGACGAAAAGTCAGAAATCGAGATCTGGGCATGAAGCAGATTTCCAAAGAATAGCGGAGGAGGAACCTACGGTTCGTGCGAATGACGGGATGGACGGCAGTCAGTCCTTCTCCCTGGTTGAGGGGCGAGCCTCGAATTCCCTTCCGCAACGGATTGCCCAACCGCCGCGCCTCGTCGTGGAAGAACGTCGCGTCGTGCGTCGCGGTCAACCCCTCCAGCATTTGCGCCATGGCGGGCGACAGGCGATCATAGATCTCATAGCCCGACGCCCAGAGGGTATCGCCTCCCGTTTCCGGGAGCGTGTGGATCTTCAGCATGGCGTAGTCGGAGGGGACTGGCTCAAAACTGATGTCGCTGTGCCAGCCCACGGACGCGAAACGGCTCGTGTCGCTGAGCTGATGCGTGAGACCGCCCCCCTTCTTCTGCTTCTCGCTGCTGATTACGCTGATTTGGTCGCCTAGCTCGCTGCCTTCTTCCGTCAGGGGATGGATGTGCAGTCCGGACGACTCGGGCTGTGATGGGGCCAGTCAGTCAGGTGTTTTCGGCGGACGCCCTGACCTCTAAGGTTCATATTCAAGCTTGGATGTGTGGTTTGTACTTACGCATCCGGCCAGGTGTGTCAACTTCTCTCCGAATTCGCGCATCTGCTGCGGTGTCACATCCTGGTCACGCAGGAAAACAACACCTCGGCTTGAGACTGTTTCCATCAGCATCAGCGGGTCAAGACTTTCGAAGATCATGTCATACTTGTTACTGCGAGATCCTTGATCATCTGGTCGCATTGCTCGGACTTCAAGATTTCTGCCACCTGAAGACCCTTGTACTCACGACCAATGACCGGCGTCAGGTCTTGCCGGGTATATGAGTCCAGAGACCCGGAATACTGGAGTGGCTCGGAGATGCGCGGTCGGGACTGCTCATGGCCTCCCCTGATTGTTGAAGCCGGGGCGTTTTCAACGACAGCAGGCATGATGACGGTTCTGGCTGTTGCACAGGCTGGTGTGAGGTGAAAGGGCACAAAACAGGACTTTTGCTTGTGGCAAAACCGACGAAGGGATCTGATAAGCTTCCCGACTCTTTATATGAACTATGACAGCCGACGGAATACGTCTACGTTGGTTCTGCAGCAGCGATCAGTGGTATTTTGTCAACGAGTCGTCCCCACCGCGGTGGAGGGCTACGGGTCATGCAGTACGAATGGCGACAACCCCTCAACCTCGCGACGCAAACCCTCTCTGACAGGCACTGGCTGGTTATCTTCCGCGGAGTCTCCTCGTCGCATCTTCCGTACGGTTCCAGGGCCACATAGGCACAAACGAGTCAAGTCCCTCGTGGGCCCATCGCCCTCATTTTCCCCGCACTAATCATGCCCGATTGGTTTGCCTCTGGGTGATGCCAATCAGCGGCCAACGGGATGGCTATCGGCGGGGCGTCGGCGAAATTCTCGGAGGGCTTCTTGGTCCGTGTTCTGTCGTTTCTTAGTCTCGCCAAACAACACCGCCATCATCAGCGAATAGGCGCTGTCAATGGGGCCCTTCGTTCGATATGGTGTGCATGTGGTACATCTACAAACAGCAATGCTCCGAAACCTGGGGAGCATGGTAGACCACGCTCAGGCAACCATTGGGAATGGCTGCGGTGACAGTGCGTTAACTTACAAGCAAAAGGAATATCCGGGGAAAGCTACGCCCAAGAACCTCTTCAACCGACCACCGTGAACTGTGGGGTTAAACAGTCCGTCACAACAGGCTTACATTGTTTTAATATTGATTTATTTTATTTTAGGGTAATTCTTCTTTTCCTCGGAATCATACGGAGAAAGAGGCTATTGGTGAAAAGCTTTGTTTTCCGAGAAAAAAATTGGCTAGCGTACAGCCTGGGGCTCCCTGGCGGCGATGATGTGCTCGGCGATCCGTTTTGTGCAATTCTCTTAGTCCGATTCTGGATTCAGGGCATGCATACACACGGCTGTAACAATAACACCATGTCTGTGGTTGGCTCAAGCAAAGGCCTGTTGTTGAAGGTCATCGCGAATAACGACATCAGAGAATAAATTATCATTTATCAACGCCACGAACTTCGATGGTATATAAGTCCTTGGCCATGGAAGACCATCCAGCCCTAGACGTTTTCCACCCCCGCCCATTATTCCGGTCTCTTGAGATTCTGCGTTCTTAGCAGCAAGGCGTGGCCTGCCACAGACATCATGACGGACATCGAAACAGGGTTCAAGGGCTCCTCCATCAAAGCCCACGATGTCGAAGACACGCAATCTTCAAAGGTGTCGATCGAGGTCGGACAGGAACACCTCGCTGGCGTCGTGCCTCCCCACGAGTCGTATGAAGGCTTTCACCGATTCGATCCCACCGCTACCTGGACTGAACAAGAGGAGAGACGTGTGATCTGGAAGACCGATTTGTACTTACTCACGGCTCTATGCATCATGGTATGTATGCTGAAACATCCAGCAGATGGCGAATGTTGACATGGATAGTTCTTTGGTCTCCAACTGGACCGTGGCAATTTATCGAATGCGCTGACGGACAACCTCCTGGTCGATCTGAACATGTCGAGCAACGATTACAACAATGTGAGACCCTGCAGGTCCCAGCAAGCAAACACACCCTTCTAACTTCCGCAGGGAACCACGATCCAACTAGTGTGCTTCTTGTCCGCAGAATTCCCCGTCCAGCTGCTCATCAAGAGATATGGTTTCAAGCGGGTTCTCCCCGTAATGATGATCTGCTGGAGTACCGTATCCTGGTCGCAAGCATGGATGACCAACCGGGCTGCCTTCTACGTGACCCGCGCACTCATCGGGGCCTTCGAGGGCGGCTTCATCCCCGGCACCATCTTGTTCGCGACCTACTTCTACAAGACGAAGGAGCTCTCCGTGCGTCTGGGATTCTTCTGGTCCACGCTCAACGTACGAACTTCTCATCATATTCAAATGAAACTCAGCTGACCGGGAAGCTAGGTTGCCCGTATCATCTCGTCTCTGCTGGCAGCGGGCATTCTCGAGATGCGCGGCGTGCAGGGCAAACCGGGCTGGTTCTGGCTGTTCCTGATCGACGGCCTCATCACCTTTGCCATCGGTTTCCTCGTTAGCATCCCTGCCCTTTCCCCAGCTCCCTACCCCCCGAAAACCCAACAACTAACCCCACAAACAGAGCCTCTTCTACCTCCCCAGCTCGCCCACCAACACGACCAGTGTCCTCTGCCCGAAGAACTGGTACACGGAACGTGAAGAAGTGATCATGATCAACGTACGTCCCATCCACACCCCCTCAAAAAAAGCAAACCCACTAATCCATCCGAAAAAGCGCCTCCTCCGCGACGACCCCTCCAAAGGCCTCACGCACATCAACGAATCCGCGACGCTGCACGACATCGTCTCCGCGTGGAAGGACCCCTCGATGTGGGGTTTGTACTTGATCGGCCTGGTCGCCTACATCCCCCAAAGCCCGGTGTCCAGCTACCTGTCCCTGACCCTGAAGCGGCTGGGCTTCACGACCTTCGAATCGAACATGCTGTCGATCCCCTCCGCGGCGCTGCAGATCATCCTGATGCTGGCCCTGTGCAAGAGCAGCGAGTACTTCGGCGACCGCACCTGGCACAGCCTCTTCGGCGAGTTCTGGTCGCTGCCGCTGCTGATCGCCCTGCTGTGCCTGCCCGCGGGGGGGTACAACTGGGTCCGCTTCACCATCACCACGCTGATCTCGGGCTACCCTTACTTCCACCCGATCGTCTCCGCCTGGATCTCCGAGAATACGTTCGACGTCAAAAAGCGCGCCATCACCGCCGCCACGTACAATGTTATCGTGCAGGTTGGGTCGATTATTTCGTCGCGTGAGTGTGGCCCCCAAACCCCCGAACAAAACCCAAAGAAAAAAGAGGCACAGAAATTATGGAGCTTGCTACGGAGTTTGCTAATGATTCTGTGGGTGATGATTAGAAATCTACCGCTCCAACGACTCCCCCTACTACTACACCGGCAACAAGGTCCTCGTCGCCCTCTGCGTCTTCTCCATGGCCGTCTTCGTCGCCCAGCGCGAGTACCTCCGCCACCTCAACCGGCAGAAGGAGCGGAAGTGGGCCCTCCTGTCGGCGGAGGAGCGCGTGCTCTACCAGGCGGACAAGGCGGCGCGCGAGCGGGAAGGCAACCAGCGGCTGGATTTCCGGTTCAAATACTAGTCCGGCTTCGGTTTACCCTGCTGTTGTCGAAGTTTTGTGTTTTTGATGTCGCGAAGAAAGACTGCTTGTTGCTTATGCTTATGATAACTAATTCCTTGATCGGGGATGATTGTCTGGGTTCCAGACATTCACTATTTGACTCCTCTGGTTGTTGTTACTGACTTATGAGAAAGCGAGTGGGGAGTTTAATCATCTTATATTAACTCATAATATACGTGTCATTCGTCGTTACAGGAGCTGAAGGGATATACACATAGGAAGGGAAAGATCAGGCGGGAAAGCTCGGACTCGACAAGGGTGGTGGCTCGGGCAAGTCCCCAGTCATGCAGAAGTAATGCTCCGACGACACAGACGGAAGAGCTCCGCCGGTTTGGGCCATGAAATCGCCCACCCACATCTCCACCGACTCTGACGGCGCCAGAGACGGGGACCACGAGGAACCGCCGCCCAGTCGTGGCTCTCGGCCCTCCTCCAATAGCAGCGGAGACTGGACGTTGGGGATGCCTACTAGGTATGGGTCGTAGGCGTACGCGGCCGCGGCCGCGGCAGCTGCATAGCCCAGCCCCGCGGAGAAGGACGACCCAAACAAGTTAGAGGGCGCCGCCAGATCTCCTAAGGGGTGGAGAGCATGCTGGCCACTAATGTCGCTTGGCTCCCCCGGCATCACGCCGTGGGGGGCACGGTTGTGGTCCAAGGTCTGAAACGTAGTAGTGGCAGTAGCTTGGTAGAGGTCGTCCACGGCGGTCCAATCAGCCACTGTGCTTGGAGCCGTGGGATCGGCAGTCGTCGTGAAGTCATCTCCTAAGGTCGATGCAGGCAGCTCGGGGGCTGGGCTGTCCCCACTGTTGGAGTCTGCGCGGGGGGTGGCTTTACTTCTAACTGGCGTGTGTACCTCGCGTATCGGCGGCGGTAATGCAGGTCCAGTGCTAGACTGTGCATCGGCCATTTTCTTATACAGTAGCTCCGCTAATTCTTTATTGCCGCCGCCGCGGAAGGTGGAGAGAATCGAGTGGAGTCGAGCCAGGATGCTGCTGGGGCGGGTTTCGCCATCCCAGACTGGGGCTCGCGGCAGCATGGCCAGATTGATTACGGCGTCGGCTAGTGAGCTGGCGATCTCATAGAGCTTGAGTTCCTGTGGTGGTTTTAGTGACCCTGCTCTAGGATGTCGGTGGATGTACTGTACATACCATGCCGAGGCCGTGGGCTTCAATCGCCGTTCGTGGCAGCTGGGAGACGATATTCAAGAGCTCCTTAGCTACCAACACGGGGAACGAAGGAGAGTTCGGCCATTGGGATGAAGGTGAACCTTGAAGGCCCTGCTTAAACGAGAACTTCCAGAGTATCATCCGCATCCAGTGTCGCGTCACGCACAGGTCGGCCTTTTGTACATCCGATATCTGGTCTAATAATGCCGATCCGTCCTGCAGGTTCTCTTGCAGCAACCGTAGAAACCTTGCATCCACGCCCTGCACCTCATCTGAAATCGTGTCTCTTCCGACGTTATCGTCTTCAATGAGATCAAACATCCGGGACTGCTCGAACAGGCGAAAAAGATTGAGCAATTTGAGGAAAGCGGGAAGAACTTGTGGTTCATCGCTTGTTTCGAGGGCCGGGGTGGAGACGTTCGTTTTCAGAATAACGGGTAACTTGTGGAGGATGCAGACTCCCCTAGATTAATATCAGACACAATTCGGTTGGGGATGCTGGGGAATCTCACCGTTCTGTGACGAATAGCAACCACAGGACGCGACGACGTAGTTGTTGCTCCTCCGCTGGTAGTCCTGCATACGAAGCTTCTCGGTGAAGGGACATCATTTGTGCTAAAGTGATAGCTTCTCGCAGATAGAGTAACGATTCACTCGCCCCCGACTGTTGGTTCTCGTAGTAGACGTGCAGAAAAAAGGCGGTGCGCACATTGTTTAGATTGAGCCTCGAGCGATAGTCGTACAACCGTCGTGCTCTCATGCTCTCAAGCGCAAAGTTCTCCGCACTCAGGGATTTCTCCGGCCCGGAATTTTGTCCCAGCCGCAACTGGGCGATGGTGGCGGCAGCTACTGCAGTTGCAAGGGCGTACGTTTCATGCTCCTTTTCCTCCACATCTTGCTGCAAGATAGACAGGACCTTTTCGACATCGACAATAGGCCAGACCGGGTACATGCGAACATGGTATATGTACAGCGGGGATGCGAGGACATTGATTGGAATTCGAGATCTAGATGCGCATATGATTAGACTTTGGCATTTGTTGGTAATACTGCGATACGCAGAACAGCGGAATAAGTGCGATGCGCTTGGATGCAAAAGACCAGCATACCTCGAACTGTTTTGGGATTCGCAAATTGCGGGGTTCTGAAGCGCGTGGTCGGCCTCGAGCACTTCCCCTCTCACTGGAGCCGAGGGTAGTACATTCTGCATTTCCATGCCTCTTTGCGCTTGTTCGATGAGAAATTTGGTGGTCGCGCGCAGTTTCTGAGGACCGCGAGGCTGCTGTACACGGATATAGGTGCACTTAATGCGCGCATTGAAGCAGGACTGGCATGGCTGGCCGCCGCCGCATCTGATCTTGCGGATCTTGCATCCGTCACAGGCCTTCTTGGTGATCCCGGCTCTGGAAGACATCTTGCTTGTGGGTGCCGGAGCAGTTGCAGTTGCAGTTGCAGTCGCATGCATCAGGCACAATTTGAGTCGAATGCATGACCAAGCCAGAAATCTTGCGGTCGTAGCAGGTTGCACAGACGAGGAGTTGTCAAAACGTTGACGGCCGCGCGATCATGTCGACGTTTTTGCGGGGCAAGCCATGAAAGGTTTGCTTGGCAGATGCAACTCGAAGCGAGGCGAGGCCTTGTGAGGATCGCGGTAAATCCCGATCGGCGTGGCCCTTCTGCTTCGTAGCCGATGACCGTGGCAGTGGGATTGTGTTCCACTGTCCACCGTCCACTGTTTTGTCGATCGTAAGTTGATTGTTGACAAAAGTGATGGATGGATCCAACGGCCGGCAATCGATAAGGGGCAGGCTGACGATTGCGCCTTCGACTCCACGGGGCACGCCATTGCATGGACCCACTAAGTGCCTTTAAGCCTTCAAGGAATAGGTGAAATGTTACCACCGTATGAGTGTGATGCTATTCGGAAACCAATACCGGAGGTAGTTTGAAGTGGAATTATTAGAGCTCATGCAAACTCTGCAAACCCTGCAAACCTTCTCAAGGTGAGGTGAGTGGTGGTTGAAATGTTCTATTCTTTACCCCAGATAATCTCCCCACTTCCTCCCCAACATTGGCCTCAGATAACACGACAGTCAAGTGTTATGACTTGAACGTGTCCGCTGTCATGCAATCTCGACGCCATTCTTTGATCGCAATTGCTCACACTCACTAAATATGGAGTCTCAGATGTCGCCTATTAGGAAGAGCTGCCTGCTTGGCTGCAGGAGAGGCAAGGCGCATACCTAGCGGACAACAGATAATCTACCAGCTGTCCACCACTTCTCCTTTCCTCTTGTACAAATATCGATCCCAGAAAGCGACAGCGTTTGTCGCATTCGACGTCTTCAGAAAGCCGCCCAACCAAAGCAGGAGGCCAAACTGCGAGTACTGCACACAGAAACGTCTCCACGGTCTAGTATAAAGCTTAGACCTTGATCGCAAGTTAGGCGGCTTCGGTCGACCTTCTCCGCCGAGCTTGACATTGTTCGTTCGCTTGGCTATTGTTGGTCTATATTCACTCCCTTGATCCATCTGCCAGGAACTCAATCTACGATCATGAATACCCGCTGCTACTCCATCGATTCGTCCCCAACAAGCCCCAGAGACTATCCCGCGGGGTATCCACACGCCTAGCCCCTACCTTCGAGCGTGAAGGCCACCCAAGTAAGGCGCCTTCTGACAAACTGGCCCAGACGGAAGAAGTGTCAGAAGTCTCACAACCACCGGCGAACCAGCGGCATTACATACAACTCCCACCAGGAGAATGATGTATATCAGAATTTGAGAGTGAAATATATTGGTGTCATCATCTTTCTTATGGTATTTCCCTGTCAAGGGGACCGATTCACCGTGTACCGAAGTTGCAAAAGCAACAAGTATCCATTCTGTCTATCATCCTATTCACTTCGACCATACTGCAATTTCCAAGGCCGTCATGCACGTCTGGATTCGTGATTGTAGGGTATGTTTGTCAGCACGGGTCTCTGCGTGCTTCCGCGGAGTGACAGATCTTCATGAACCGCGTAGGCTCTTTTCTATTGAAGAGGAGAAATCTAAAAAGTATACCCGTAGCAAGCAATGTAAGGAGAAACCGTCAAACTGAAGCTTCCACAGCGAGCTTATATACCACAGTACCACGCACAGGCAAAGACAGACACAAAACCAACTAAGCCCTTCTGGGTCATTGCACACTAAACCCAGGTGGGTCCCGAACTCTCTTCCCCCCCCCTCAAACTAAACGACGAGACCCTCCGAGCAAACCTCCGACGCCTCTTGCGCCTCATGCTGTCCTGACCATATGTCAGTGTGATTGGACTCGAAGGCTCCACCGCTGCAGCTGTGCAACTATCGACAGGCCAATGGCCGACACCCCGAGGTGTTCCAGCGCACGCAATGGCCCGTCGCGGTCGTACAGATAAATTGGTACCGCAGCCCCCTCGCGCGGGGGCAATGCCTACTTCCTGAACTTAACAATTCTCTCTCTCAACGGAAATTTGATTAAGAGAAGTACACCATGGCCTGGCCGAACAAGAACAAAGATATGCTCTACCGCCGGGTAGGCAATTCCGGCCTGCATGTTTCTGCGCTGGGATTGGGAGGGTGGTTGACGTGAGTTGTTGCATGCCGATGACTCTTCAACAGGGACAGTCATTTACTAATACTTCTGACTTGTTGGCAGTTTCGGAGGTCATGTGGATAACGGTACTACTTCTTGGATTGGATGTCAGTGCCAGACAGCGGGACTAACGGCCTGAACCAGAAATCACCTTCCAATGCATGAAGCAAGCCTACGATTGCGGGATCAATTTCTTCGACACCGCGGAGAGGTAGCCCTTCCCTCCCTGTAAGCACGAGACGCGAGCTAATCAACCACAGCTACGCGGGCGGTCAATCCGAGATCATCATGGGCCAAGCGATCAAGAAATTTGGCTGGAAGCGCAGTGATCTCGTTATCAGCACCAAGGTCCGTCCGCTCCGTCTTTTGACATGAAAGGCAGACAAAAACCAGCACCGAATATAAATAAACCGCTAACCTCGAGTGACCTGTGGACAGCTAAACTGGGGCCTCGCCAACGGCGAAATCCTGATCAACAACCACGGCCTGTCGCGGAAGCACATCGTGGAGGGCACGCGGGCCTCGCTGGAGCGGCTGCAGCTGGAGTACGTGGACATCATCTACGCGCACCGGCCGGACCGGCTGACGCCGATGGAGGAGACGGTGCGGGCGTTCAACCACGTGATCGAGAAGGGGTGGGCGTTCTACTGGGGCACGTCGGAGTGGTCGGCGGACGAGATCAGCGAGGCGTGCGGGATTGCGCGGGCGCTGGGCTTGATCGCGCCCGTCGTCGAGCAGCCGCAGTACAACATGCTGACGCGCCAGAAGGTCGAGGGCCAGTTCCAGCGGCTGTACACGCGCTGCGGGATCGGGCTGACCGTGTTCTCGCCGCTGAAGATGGGTTTACTCAGTGGCAAGTACAACGACGCCACGACGCAGCCGCCGCCGGGGTCGCGGTTCGCCGAGAGCAACGACAAGTACGCCAACTACGTGCGCAGCGAGTGGGAGAACGAGTGGGCGGGCACGATCAAGACGGTGCAGGGGCTGCAGAGCTTGGCGGATAAGCTGGGCGTGAAGCTGTCGCAGCTGGCGCTGGCGTGGTGCCTGAAGAACGAGAACGTCTCGTCGGTGATCACGGGGGCGTCGCGGCCGGAGCAGATCGTGGACAACGTGGAAAGTCTGAAGCTGCTGCCGCGATTGACGCCGGAGGTAATGGCGGAGATCGATGAGTATTTGCGGAATGCGCCTGAGCAGGATCCGGCGCGACAGGACTAGTTGTGTTGCATAGTATGATCTCGTCGACACTACCTAGTACCTAATGAAACCGAATTACCACCAACACCTTTAAACCATTCAAAGAAACAGCTGGTGTAGCTGAGTACAAAAGCAGCAAAAGCAAAGCACGTGTCAAAGTGCCCCTCATCCCAACCCAAAACCAATGACATCACATTCCCCCCATCTACAAAACAAACCACCACCACCTTCACAAAACCCATTCCAACAGCACAACAAACCCACCCCATGAACCCCGACGAAGACTCACCAACCCCACGTCCCATAGCAAACCTACCGCCGGAACTCCACCTCCTCATCGCCACACACCTCCCACAACTCCCCGACCTCTCCCGCGCGCACCTCGCCCAAACAAACTACTACTTCCACACCCTCCTCCCCCGCCCCACGCACGCCGACTTGCTCGCCGCCGAGCTCGACCCCCTCGCCATTGCCAACGACCTCTACGCCTGCCGGTACTGTCTGCGGCTGCGGCGGGTGACGCACTTCGCGGACCGGATGGTGCGGCGCGGCCGGGGCCGGTTTGGGGCGGCGCGGGAGCGCGCGAAGCGGTTTTGCTTGGAGTGTGGGATTTGCCCCAGGGATCAAGGCTTGGGAAATGGAGGGGTGGGGGAGGGCGCTGGACAGGCCCAGGCTCAAACTGAAGTGCAAGCTCAAGCTGAAGGAAAGGCGTGGGGCGAAGCGCGGTACGGGTATGGGGATCTGGTGCGCGTGCAGGGGGAGTGGAGGGTGTTCTGTGGGCGGTGTCGGGGGTTGCGGCGCGTGGTTCCTCTCTCTCAACCGGCGGCATCCGGGAAAGGGAGGGGCAGCAGGGGGCATCCCCCAAAGCTGCAGGTGTGGGAGGAAGAGCAGGGGATGGGGATGCGCTTGGGAAGGGACCTGGGGTGTGAGGGGTGTTTGTCTGTCTCCCGTCAGGGATTGGGAGGCTGAGATCCAGGGAGGCGAGAATGTCTGTTGTTGATTTCAAGTTAGATACCCAGCTACATGCACTGCACACTGCACACTGCCCACATACCTACCCTACAGGCGTAAACAGCTACAGAAACCCATCCAACTCCCCCTTAATCTCCACCACTTCCTCCCTCCCCTCCTCAGCAGTAACATCCACGTACAAACTCACATACTCCACCCCCTTCTCAATCGAGCTCACCCCCAACACCATCCCCTCCACCCCCATCATCCCCTCCTCCCACGCCCGCACAATCCCCCCGGCCATCTCGTCCTCATCATCCATACTAAACTCCGCCAGATACCCCGTCCCAAACGACACGAGATACCCGACACCGTCAAAAAGCCGAAACGCCAGGGCCTCCCCCGAGGTAATCCGGGTATCCTGGCCCGGCGGCAGCAGCTGCACCACCGTCCGGTTGTTGCGGTACCAGGTAACATGGATATCCCGCGGCGCGGTGGTGCTCGACACGACGAAGTCCTGGATCACGAATTCCTCGAGCTTGTCCTCCGCGCTGAGGACTCCGCTGCCGCCCCTGGTGTTGCAAGGTACCGACACCGGGAGGATAGACGAATATCCCAGACCGCGGTCTCGGAGCGCGTGGGCCATGATGTCTTTGTATGTGGCGAGGTGCATGTCCATAAGCTCGGTGGCAGTGGCAGCCTCGTCTATCGCGGAGTAGTCGGCTGCCGCGGCGAGGAGGATGGCCACGATCGAGCTCAGGAGGCCGGCGATGTCCCAGCATTGGTCCAGGTGCAGGAGGGAGCAGGCGGATTTGACGAGGATGGCGGTGGCCAGGGTGTAGGCGATTCTACATGACGCAAAGAGGTTAGGGGGTGCTGTGCTCTGGAGATAGAGGATGGATGCAACTCACTTATTCTTGCTACGGCCCAGAGTCCGCAAGACTGCGTCGAGCTGCACACATAACTGATGCGTCGTGTCAAGCGGAACAGGCAGCTGGTTGTATTCGTTCAGGATCCGAGCAAGGTCGACGCCGAATTCTTCACACACGGTAACCCGGCCAGTCAGAAACTCTCCCTGGCCCGCTTGCGCGGCTGCAAGCAACAGGAGAACAGGGATCAGGATTCTTCGGGTTGTCTGGCGGTTGAGAACGATCTGGGGGCGCGGGCTATTGCTTTCAAGACGCGTTAGCCACTTTTCCACGGACAGAGAGATAGTCCTACCAATTCTGAATAGTGAGGTGATTCTTGCACAAGAGCAGCCAGAGTAGAGAAGTCAGCACCGAGACGATGCAAGCCAACAGCCACCAGAGACAGCCAGTCCAGGTGGATCTGCCAGGGTGAGAGCGAGCACGCGTTGCCCCGCGAGTATTCTTGTTCGAACTCTGCGATGCTGAATCAGACTCATACGCAGAGTCGGCAAACACAAAGTCGTTCGTCGATGTAATCATCGCGCAGGTGTCTCCTGGGTAGGACGCAGGCATCTGCTGGTGGGGCATAGTTGTATTTGTAGAGGTGAAGAAGAAAGAAAATAGTACAGAAGAGGGTGGATATGTGAAGATGAGAGAGTGAATTGAAGAGGTGAGTTGGCTGTTGGCTGTTGGCTGTTGGCTGTTGCCTTGTCATAGCTTGCACACTGATCATCGAGAGGGTTTCGTTTCCCCGTCTTTTGAACACTTTCACTAGAGCACTTAACTGCAATGTGCCTTACTGCTATTAGTCTCCAGGGTATCGGCATCTTCTTCCGGCTTCCCCTCCCCTCCCCTCCTACACACTTAAGCACCCTAAGTACTATTTGTAGCTTATTACGAGATAGACCTCTCGCCGGCAAAAGATTGACTACGCGAAGAGGAAGAACTTGAGAATCATAACATGCACATGAGATTCTAGGACACCACCACGCAGCTTAGAATAGGTTTGCAAGTCAACACTGAGCTTTACCTTTTATGCAACGGTGGTTAAACATGAACATAAGAATAAAGCAGGGTCCAGCCCCAAGAACACACACGCTAATCCACAAACCAGGCTCATATAACTGGGTCACATCAGCTACAGCCGGGCCATCGGGTGCGTCTCACGGCTGTCTCCCAGTGATTTGGCAATGTTCCGACTAGCCCAGTCAGCGATCGCCATATTAGTGATCATGGGGTTGACACCGCTGGCACTAGGGAACACTGATGCATCCACCACATACAAGCCCTGAGCCTCCCATACTTGACAGTCCGGGTCAACCACACTGGTCTTGGGACTAGCGCCCATCCGACATGTTCCCATCTGGTGGGCGCTGGCAAACTGTGTCCGCTCGGGCTCGAATGGTACCTTATGAGCGCGCATATCAGCAAGCCACGCTTGGAAGGACGCGTTGTTGGTGCCTTCCGCAGCTTCAGAAGGTGTCATCTCAGGTCGAATGTATGGCGTCAGCTCGCGCCAGGTCGTATGAAATTCCTTGGCGCCAGCAACGAAAGCAATCTTGGCAGTGCCAGCAAGTGCCTCAAGCATATGCTTACGGTCATAGGCAGACACCGTATAGTCAATGCGACATCTCCCATCAACCGGATCGGGGTACACTCGTCCACCATCTCGGTCCCGGGTGAGGGTGATGAACCCCACCGTTCGTGGCAGGTTGAGCACCCACATCTTATAGTCGAGTCCGCCACGCCAAGGGAACAGGGGAAGGTAGGCCGAAGGCAGCATGGACAGAGCCTCAATCTTGACACCATATCCCTTTCGATCGAGGTTCTCGAATTCATTGACGACAGTAGTCAGTGCCGATCCTTCCCAAGGTCGAACCTCTTCATTGAGGACGGCACCAGCAACAATCACTAGGAGTACAAGGTTAGCCAGCCATCCTAGAAGTCTCATAAAGTAATAGCATACCTGGATGAAGGTGAAGGTTGCGACCGATCTGTGAGTTCTTCAGTCCACTCCGCTTGAGAAGCAGAGGGCTTTGCAAGGAACCACAGGACACCACCACGCGTTTTGCATTGATGACCACCTTGCGCTTCACCGCATCCACACCCGACACACCCAGGTACGAATCCCTTGAGGTCCATGTTCCTTCCACGCCCGAAGCCACCGTTCCATATGGCTTCTCCTCGAACAGAACCTTGTCCGCGCGAAATCCTTCGATGAACGTTGCCCCTCCCCGAGAGGCGTCGGCAAGGAACGTCTCCGTAGGACCTTTCTTCCCACACGTGTGACAGCCCAGAGTGCAGTAGCCACAGTAGTGCGGACTATTGCCTGTGTTCTGGGGCACCGCTTTGGCGGAATAGCCCAGTCGGCGGGCCCCTTCCAGGATGAGACGATTGGCCTTGTTGTGTTCGGTATGCTCACTCCCCACACCCATCCGGTCGCAGACACGATCCAAGCACTTCTGGTATTCTTGACTGGTGAAGAATGGAAGCCCACTGTTTGCCCACTCCTCACGCACGTATCCCTGTGTCTGCAAAGCAGCGGACCAGTTGACTGTGCCACCGCCACCCCAGGTCGAGCCTGCCAGAATGGCCGTGCATCCATCGTCGGTGACGACACCGCCTCCTCCCTCAAACATGCTGATGAAACCCTCGTTTGCGGCCATTGGAAAGTGGTCAGACGAGTAGTAATACGACTTGTCCACAACAATCACCTTGTAGCCCGCCTCGGTGATACTCTTCGCCGCGACACTCCCACCACAGCCACTCCCGACAATGACAACGTCTGTTTCGATGATTTCGAGATCCTCACTGGGAGGAAACTGCAAGAATTCATACTTGAAGCCATCCACAGGTTTCCCATGGACTGGCACACGCGGAAAACCGATGGCTAGGTTGAGCGTTGGGCTAAATGTAATCCAAGTCTTCTTGAAGATGGTGGATAAAGCCCGGTAGATAGCTCGAAGTGGCTTGATCCGGGAGGTCTCCCAGCTGCGGAAGATCTCTTCACGCACGTCAACAGGCTGGTCTCGAATTAGAATCACTGATCCTGTCAGGAGGAGGGAGCCAGGCCGTGTACTGTAGAACGTGTTAGCTCACGAGCCTCTCGGATGCCGATGCTACATACTTCAGAGCATTCAGAATGAACTTAATGCCGTTCAATCCCTCGTCGTGGACATAGACCGAGAAAAGACGTTGCAGTCCCTCACGGAACGTGTTATTCGAGGAGGCAGACTCCCGTAGATACTGACCGGCAATTGTAGCCGCATCGGGGCCAGGGATCTTGGAGGTTAGGGTTGTACGAGCTCGTTCCATTTCTTGAGATGTGACAATCTTGGTTGCCTTGGACTTGTATGCGACGGGGGAGCGGATGGACGGAATCACGGTGTCAGCTAGAGCCAGAAGAGTCCTCCATTGTGTCGAGGTGAAGACCGCTCGAGTGGGTATGAGGGGAAGGGCAACATCCAGGGGGACACGTTGCTCTGAGTTCTCAGCAGCCATGGTGATTGTGGTGCGTTAGTTGTGTGTTAATATGGATGACGGTAGAGGAATAACGATGAGTTGTAGGAATAGTCAGATGGCGATGAGAGAGCACACGAGGTGTGAGGTGGTGACTAGAAGTCAGGATCCTTGAGGACGAGAACTTGGTACTCGAGGCTTGAGACTGAGACCCTGGGATTTAAGGCTCCTGGCCCTCAGCGTGGCTTCCTTCGCTGGCAACGTTGGAAACGGCAAGTGACACCAAAGGAGTAGGAACGAGGCGGAAGGAAGAGGGGGTTTATCAGGGAGAGTGTGGAACTGAAAAGGCCCATGGCGTCCGAGGTCCAGGCGTCCAAGGTCCAGGTACGGAGTACTAATAAGAGCTTCTCTTAAGAGCCACGGCAAGGCTCCATAATTAAGTCTGGGAGCCAGAGCTGGAAAATGGGCCGACAATCTCGAGCGAGTGGTGGGAGCGAGTGGGTCGGCTCTGTACGATCGACATGCGGACCCATACTAACGATGTGAGAATGAAACTCTGGCGCTTTTTCGATGCGGGGAAACTGGTATAGCCGAGTTAACTCAATAAGCCCACGTGAATTGAGCTGGATGCCGCGAAGGAGGTCTATCGAGCGTTGCGCTATGGACGGGTGAGGTTTAAGGTAGATCCATCCACCCCGCGCGAATCCGCGGGACCTCGGCTGGGGCTGGATGGGAAGTCCGGGGTTTCGCAGTGAGAGTGAACAAAAACAAAAGTCCGAGCTCGTATGTGTGCCATGGTTGATACTGAGCTTATCAGGTCAAGATAAAGGAGCCCGTTGGGTAAGATTCGAGAGAATTTGAACCATGATAGATGAGTGGTTTATTCTCCGCATGAACCACTGGAGTTCCCGAGCACGTGACTACTAGGCTACGAACAGTACTAGTGACTAACACATAGATTACTACTACATAGTTAATTAATACTTTGCGCTGTCGCCCATCTGACCTTAATCACTTTGGTTGATCAATTTGACACGAGTCTCAGCAACTCCGAAGGATAAAAGGATCTAGAATGCTAACCCTCTGAACCATAGGGAGACTTCCTAAGGGAGCGCATGTCTTCCCCGCGGACAATCAGGTAGACTTGGACTAAGCTGCATGGGGTATGGTCCGCCCCATCCCCGGTCCACGCGATTTGCACTGTTTGTCTGCGATCGCAATCTCACCTGAAATGCCATGCGATTAGCATCTCACCTGCCAATGTTTCACTAGCCATGATGTGATCCTGCTAGCCAACACAAGCTCCCTCCCATCCCTCCAGGACTTTGACCTTCCTTGCGTCTCTGCTGCACCGTGCGACTGATCTGCGCAATCGCCCGGACCCGACAATCGCAGTTCGTGCCAACCTACCCACCCCCGCCGATGACCAGGTCCCTTATCGCGTCGAAAGATCCACCGCTTTCAAAAACCTCCGGTTCTACTGCTCTTCTGCAAACTCAACCTATACAACAACCGGAAAGTCACAATGTCGAGCGACTCTGGACGGGCGATGATCAGCCCGTCGATGCGGCGCAGTCCCAAATCCAACCTCCCGCCCGAGAGGGTCTTCTCCATACAGATCGGGACGGAGCTATTTCGTCTGTCGGGGGCATCCATTGCGTCTGATGGTCAGTCTGCCAGATATTTCCCAACCCGCGAACACATCTAACCCTCCGAAGCTCCGTCCTACTTCTCCCAGTTCTTCGAAGAACAAATCCGCCAAAACGGCGACAATCCCAACATTCGCACCCTGTACATCGATCGCGATCCGACCACGTTCAAAGAGATCGCCAAGCATCTGCAGGGTAAGGCTGATAATCCTGTGTCGTCGTGCCTGTACGCAAGTTAATTGGTTCGAGGAGGATAGGATACCACATTCAACCCACAGACGGGTCCCAATTCGTCAAGTTCTTCGCCGATGCTCAATTCTACAGCTGTGCGTCGGCCCACTCCCTGGTTAGGAGATATCCACATGCTAACGGTCGCAGTACCACGCTTAATATCCCAGCTATTCGAGTCGCAAATCTTCATCCAGATCGGCGATCGCAACTTCCAGATCCCCCGCGACATCTTCTCCGGTCCAGGCGACTCGCCGAACTTCTTCACATTGGGGTTCGCGGCCTTTTTCGCATCGCCCGTCGAAGTGTTCCCAGGACTTGAGCGTCACGGTCTTCTCCGGCCCCCGGCCATCACACCCCCCAGCGTACCAAACCGTTCCGGGGAAGTCTTCGCGCAGCTTCTCCACCTGCTCCGGGGCTACCCCCTGCGGATCCGAAACGAGGAGCACCGCGCGGAGCTCCTGCGGGACTGTCGCTACTTCCACCTGCGCGGCCTCGAGCAGAAGATCATCCCCCACCACATCAGCTTCAACCCGATCCTGGGGCGCGACGAGATCATTATCCGGCTCGAGGACGTGCGCCGGTCCGGGGTCCACCTCGAACAGGGCGCCAGCGCCTGCGACAGCAGCTGGGTGCGGTACTCGCGGCCGTTCCTCGACGAGAAGAAGTACGACCTGATCGTCGAGATCGGCGACGAGAGCACCATCCTCGACCTCACCACCAAACACCCGACCTTCTTGAACCTCACCAAATCCCGGGTGACGAGTCTGCTGCAGATCGTGGCGAGCAAGAAGCTCGCGGAGCTGGGCGATGTCGCGATCAAGGACGAGCAGATCTGGTTCGTGACGGGCCCCGATACGAGCCTGACGGTGGACGGGGAGCAGACGAGTTACCGGGAGGTCGTGGGTTACTCGACCCCGGGCGCAGACAGTTCGTCGCAGGAATCCACGAACAAGCGGCGACGCATGGAGGAACCCGCCAACAGCCGGGTCTGGGTGGTGCGCAACGGCCAATGGCGGATCTGTGTGCGGCCCAGCGTGAATCAGGGCAGTCTGGACTTTCTTCTCAGGGCGGTCCAGTTGGATGTATATACCCAGGAGACCGTGCGCAATCGGAGTCGACCATTCTTGGGGTCTCCGGGGATTGCATGAGGTACTATGGTTATATGCACTGTACATATCTGAATGAGTATGAGGTAGTTAGAGCTTCTATATACATCTAATCAGAGAACCCGGCCCATTCATCCTCGCTGTTGTCTTCGTTCTCGTCATCTTGAGCCTCGCCATCTGAATCCGACCCGTCCGAATCCTGTGCATCACTGTCTTGATGCACTTGGTCGTCCTCGACATGGCCATCGGTGCTGTTACCCTCAGCCACGACATCGTCGTCTCCATCGCGCACAAACCCAGCAATGAAGAAGCCACCGGTGCCTTCATCATCGCCAGGCCAACAGCGCAGACACCCCTCCAGCACCTCATCCGAGAGACCGAGATCGCCCACCTCGACTTGGGCAGCACCAGCTCCAACAGGCTTCTCACTGCGCACCCCGCGATGCTTCCACTTCCTCATGCCCTCCGGCTGCTCGTCCCTCCGCAAGATCCTCCACCCGCGTCTCTTGGCCACATCCGACGCCAGAATCCTGGCCACGACCGCCTCGTTCTCCACCATATGCACCGAGCACGTACTATACGAGACCCTCGTCGCCGCCGGGAAGTGCAAGGCATGCTCGACGATCCTCGTCTGCAGATTAGAGAGCTTCTGCAACCGCTCGGGGCCCATATGCCCAGCAGGCAGATCGTTCTCATCCTCCGCCAGCGCGGCCTCCTCCTCCTCCGCATTAGGGAGTTTCCTGTCCTCCCTACCCTCATCATCCTCCTGTCTCCGTTTCCTCTTTTTCCCATGCTGCCTCTCATTCCTCCCATCATTCCCACCAACCTCCGGCAAAACCAGCGTTGGCACATCATCTCTCCCGAGAATCCCACTCCCCGAACAACTGGGATCCAACAACAACCCCGTAACACCCTCAAAGCGGTCCTCCTGCGGGTCCAGCGCCAGAAAATCCTGCCCGGGCAACACAGTCACCAGGGCATCCGCCCCTGCGGTCGCGACCATCTTCTGGAGCGTCTTCGCACGAACCTGCGACTGATCCATGGACCAAACCCTCTTCCTCTTCCCCTGTTTCCGCCCAGGATCCTTACAAAGCAACGAAGCCATATGCGTGGTCTTATTCCCCGGGGCGGCACACCCATCCAACAACTCCCCGCCCTGCCACCTCCCATCCCCGACCAACAGGTATGCCGGGAAACACGACGCCTTATCCTGCAGAATGATCTCCCCGCGCTTATACGCCGGGGTGACCGTCAGATCCACCCCCTGCGCCACCGCCACCAGATCCGGGACATGCTCATCCAGATAGATTTTTCGGGGGGCATGCTGCGCTGCCTTCTTCGACACCACGCCCCCAAGCTCCACCAGCGACCCCACAGCCTCATAGCCCTTAAACGTGGTAGCCAGTTGATCGGCCAGCGTCGTCCGCACGTTGTTGACCCGCACCCAGCGCGGGTAGACGGCTGTCGCAGCCGCGATAGTGGGGTCCCCGCCGGCAGCGACGACCTTCTCGCACCGGATGGATTCGCGCAGGGCGTCGACGGTGGCGCATCCGCGCCGCACGCGGGCTTTCGTGAACTCCGCGCGCAGTCGGGTCTTGTGGCGCTCGATCGCTTGGCGGAGCGGGTGGGTGGCTTTAGCGGCGATGCCGGATTTGGCGAGGAGGTGGTCGTGAACGAGGAGGAGGGCGAGGAGGGGGGTTAGCTGGCAGTTGTGGTTGCGTCAGTATAACTCTTGTAAAACAGTAGCAGCGAGTAAGTGCAAATAGCAAGCGCGGTTGATTCGCGAATTGATCCGGGAAAAAAGGCGTCTTACCTTAGGTTCCAACTTCAAGATCCCCGCTTTCTCAATGACCTCCTTGAGGAGGAGATCCCATTTCGAGGCTTCGATGATCAGGGCGTAGATCTGCGCGGGCGAGGCCTTGAGGGAGCGGGCGTTGTAGAGGCGCGATTTGAAGGAGCCGCCGGTAGCGGGAGCGGTGAGGATGCCCACCGCGTCGTAGTAGAGGGACATCTTTTTGCTCGGGGGAGGACTTGGGAATATGTTTGTCGCAAGAGGGAGGGGAGGGTTGGGATGAGGAGGGCGATGCTGGATAAATTTTGGTGTTTGCACTGTTTGTTTGGGATGTATACTGCGGTTGTTGTCGTTGCGCATGTTGTTCATGCTTTATCATATGGACCTGACCTTTTATTTTATTTTTTTTCAGGATGAATTCTAGTATTCAATGGCATCAGTTACAATCAACAAGACAAATTTTTAATAACAAAAGAAGCCCAGGGAGAACCCCAACCAACCAACCATCCTTGACCCAAAATCCGGAGTGCCCTTATCACTCACTATCACCTCCGCTCCGCATCTCCGCACCTCCGCACCTGCATCCGACTTAATCAGTTTGCAGACATTTTCCCCGACCAAATCAGCACTGACTCACTTCACCTCATCTCATCTCATCCCATCTCACCCTCCTCCACCCTCAACAACCTTACCTGTACATATTCCCCTTTCACCATAAAAGCCCAGCAGGTACACAACCCTCACCTCCCTCCTTCAACCCCCTCAACCCCACAAAGCAAAATCCTCACACCCTCCAGAATCCCTCGACCCTCAACCCTCAACCACCAGACTCAAAAAACGGTCAAAAAAAACGATGACCTTCACAACCCACCTCCTCCCACCCCCCTCCCCATCCCCATCCTCGAATCCCAAATTCACCCTCCCGACCCCGACCACCCCAAGTCCACCCACCAACCCCCCCCTCCTAACCGACGCCCTCACCATCCGCCAAACAGTCTTCATCGACGAACAACACTGCTCCGCCGAGGAGGAGATCGATGCCGACGACGGCCGCAGCTGGCATTGGGTGGTGTACCATTCCTCAAAACCTACCTCAACCGGGACAGACACCACGGACCGAGAATCTTCTCCACCCGAAGCAATGGGAAGCAGCCGCACCCCCGTCGCGACGATCCGGCTCGTGCCGCCGCCGAATGTCCACGAGCACCAGCACCACGCCCACAACGGAGCCGAGAATGGGGCAGAGCAAGAACAAGAACCCTACATCAAGTTGACGCGGGTGGCGGTGCTGCGCGAGTACCGGGGGTATGGGCTGGGGCGGGCGGTGGTGGAGACGGCGTTGGCGTGGGCGCGGGAGCATGCGAGGGAGATTGATGAGGCTGCCGTGGCTTTTGCAAGGGCTTCCGCAGAGAAAGATGGGGTGGAGGTGGTGGCGCGCCCGGTTTGGAATGGGTTGGTGTTGGTGCATGCGCAGACGCAAGTGGAGAAGATGTATGAGCGGTGTGGGTTTGTGACGGACGAGGGGATGGGGAGGTGGGATGAGAATGAGATTGAGCATTTGGGGATGTGGAGGAGGCTTGTTTTGGAATAGAGTCTGAAGGCCTTTGTATAGAGGGTGTGGTGTGTGGTGTGTACAGAGAAGGTTACAATAGAGAATGCTAGAGGCTACAATGGTAGTCTAGAGGATAAGGTTCTTCTTGGATATTTGTTCATTCTTGTGAGATCTAACTCGTTGTATTGGAAGGTCGGGTTGATAAACACCGCACTTGGAAAGAAAAAAAGATCGCCGCTCGTAGCAACATGACGGGGTATCCTAAGCATAAGGAGACAAGCAGAAGACAAAACACCTCCGCCTCTTTGACGATCATTAGAAAGGAAGAAAACACCACAAGACAGCAAAGCAATACAAGGTCTTCCGAAACTCCGCACAGTAACACCGAAAAATGGATCCGAAAAAGAAGAGAACAGCAAAGGAAAGGTATGTTCTAAAACAGGTATGTACGAAGTGAAATGAAGCGAAGCGGGCGTCGGTCAGCATGAATCATTGTGGAAGCCGACACGACCCCTGGTGTATGGGCATGTTCGTTAATGCGTGAAGTCGTAGTCGTTTCAGAAAGTGCTCCAGTTCCAGCCGCGAGGGACGCTAGCAGCGATCTCGGTAGATTGTCCGGGGACACCGTTCAGGGCAGCGGCCTTGAGGCTCTCGACCGGCGAGGGCTTGGTGGCCAGGGAGACAGCGCGGTCGGCTTCGCCAACGGTACCGGTCTGCGCGTCGAGCTGGGTCTGGATCTTGTTGATGCGTTCAGTGCGCGACTCCTCCCAGCGCGAATAGGCGCTCCAGCAGAGATCGCAGGCACGGGACGGGACACCCTCGGGGTGGAAGCGGGCATTCTGATCGAGAGGGACGACATAGGGGGTATGGGAGGAGCAGAAGACATGGCCGCAATGGCGGCAGTGGTGACGACGCAGGAAGATGCCGAAGGAAGAGCGACAGGTAGGAGAATCGCAGTTGGGAGAAGCAGAGTCGGCCTGAAGGAACATTGATGTTAGCTTAAGTTTGAGCGGATGATGCAGGGGTGCGATGGCGTCATGTCGATCACGCGATGATTCGCAATGGCACGCCTTGCGCGACAGTGCGCCGCAGGCACGCCATAGTGACTTTATAAAACACCCGATCGCCCACCCAGGCAGAAAAGGGGGAAAGAGATACTCACTTTCCAGTGTTCACGAGTAGGCTGGCCGGTCACCTCGCCAAGGTCTTCTTTCTTCATCCACTCATCCTCAGCCAGCTTGCTGACAGTCGATCCACTGCTGTAGCTTTCCATGGTGGAGCGACGAGTAGCCGGGACGCCGATTTCGCCTTCAGTCAGGCTGTCCAAAGAGCCGTGGACACTGCGGGGAGGAGAAGGCGGGGAGGCTTTCTGAGTAGCGTGGTCGTTGTTGGGGCGCAAAGCAGCAGGAACATAAAGGGGACCCTTCAATGGACGAAGCTGCTTGCTATGGAGTGGAAGGTACTGCTGCTGAGGCGAAGCAGGCGAGTTGTTGGCGGTGGTATCGGCGGAGCTGATCGGGGTGGGTTGGCCGTAGAGGGAGATTTGGTTACCCGCGAGAACGGGAGAAGTGGTAGTGGCGGTAACAACGTGGGTGGCCATTTCGGGGAGATTATGATATCACCACAAGTTCGGAAATGTGATTAAGGTTGACGAGGTTGATATGACAGAAGGCGGTGGAGAGGAGAGAAAATGCACGAGATGAATTTGAGGACAGTAAAAAGTAAAAAAAAAAAGGAATAGTCGCTGAAAGTTATCGAGATTCGAAAGGATGGGAGGTAATTAAGTATGAAGAGATCTTGACGGTTTCGTGCGAGTGAGACGACAAGGACGGGAGATGACCCAGATGATGATGTTAAGTGATGTTAAGGGTTCGTAGTGAGTTTAGATCGAGCACACGGTTTTCGACAGAGAAGCTGGCTGGAACCAAAGAAGCATCGCAGTGGCAAGCAGGAGACGCGGGTTGATAAAGTTCGCGATGACGAAGGCAATCTGAGGATAAGCGCTGATAGACAGATGCTAAGACGAGACCGGTTGTGGATAGAATTGGTTGGTAGTGGTGGTATAGAAGTGTAGTAACCAGAGATCAGGTTGATCAAATAAACTTGGAAGGAGGTAGTATTGGTATTATGTATCCAGCACTATCACCAGTGCAGTTGGGAAGTAACACTTCAAATCCGGAGAGCGAGGGGGGTAACCCGGATACTAATATAGTTCTGGGTGTTTTGTATTCTGCGGGTTGGAGATGGGAAATTAATTTATTAATTCGGGTGGCTCTGTTTGGACGGACGGACGGGCTGCGACTGCTCTCTTGCACTGTCTTCTTGCTGTGTGTGTGTGTCTCTCTCTCTCTCTCTTTTTAGTCTAACCTTTTGCCATGCCTGCCTTGTGGAGATGCACGCTAGCCGGTGGAAGTACCAAAATAATTTAATTTACCAGGAAAGCATAAAATCCATTTTAGAGAATAAATTAAAATAAAATAAAACAAAATCAACAGGCGGGTAAGCTAAACGAAAGTCGGCGGCGAAATTACCATTGGGGGAGCAGAGAGCAGAGGGAGGGGAGCCCTGAGGGAGGGAGGGAGGGATCAGCATCTTTCTGGTGGCTTTTTACTCGATAAAAGGTTGAGGCTAGAAAGTCCCGAAGAAACAGCAGCCGGTGGAGCCGTTGGAGGCGATTCTTTCCCGTCAGAATTACCCTATTCATCATCCACATCGGACTCACCATACTTCGAGTACTGTACATACATACATACATACATACATGCCAATCAATGGCATCAACCCCCAGTCGGATAATATACAGGCACATGCAGGAAAGAATATCTGCAAGTCTGACTCTGACCACCCCCTCCCGGGGAAGTAGGGAAAGGGGGGAAGAAAAGAAGACCCAAAGTAAGAATTACCCCCTGAGGGTGAAGGAAAGGGTGATACTGCACCTGATACCAGAGGACTGTACATCACCTACACAGTACGTACTCGGTAGAGGTTGTAACATACCAAACAACCACTAACTAACTATACTCCCTCCCGATCGGAAGCATGCCAACCACACTATTCCTAAACCAGCACGGATTTTTACCGAGGATGGCCCTGAGATGGAGGGACGGATGAATTGTAGGTAGTCAACCTGGAACTGATCGGATGCAACTGTTACTTGTTCTATCAATCAGCCTGAGTAGAACAAGTATATTCATCCGTCTTTGACTATCAGTCCTTGACTATAACATCAATCGCTGACGACAATCATGGATATGTATAGAGGTTCCAAGCAAGGCAGGAGTAGTAGACAGCTAAGCACAATCAATGTGACAAAGTACGACTACCTCTGGTCTCATTCCTTTCCCATCCGTCAGATCTGAGGGACTGGAAGAAGGACTCAATCAGGGATGGATGCATCCATTGCCAACCAGTCAATCTCTTTTTCCGAAGCAGTCAAGTCATGATGACAACCGAATCCAATTCCTTCCTCCCCCTCCTCTCTTTCTCCGTGTCTCCCCCCGGTCTCTCTCTCTCTTGTTGACCGCCTCTTACAATCATCCCATCCCCTCCCCCTAATTACACATTCTCACGATGAATCATCGATCAAGCCGGTGGTATGAGAATCAAGTATGCATCCCGGTCTTGTGGCAACCAATTAATCAACCCTGAACCGACAAGCATGATAACTTGCCCCTTCAGGCGATCTCCATGCTCTGTTCTTGTCTGTTTCCCCACTCGTCCTCAGATGGATGGATGATGGACGGAAGTGAAGGGGTTCCATCTTTCTTCCATCTCCAAAGTTCAAACCCACACCCACCCACCACCAACCCCCCTCATCCCCGTGGAGCGGTTCTCTACCGCGCTCCTACCAAGCTGGAACGCTACATTTCGGCGGCTACCGGTGAAATCAGAATAGAGATGGTGCTGGTTGGACGAAGAGAAGCCGGAAAGTCGCCCCACTGCAACCTCGGCTCCACCGACCGACCGCCTTAGCAGAAAGCAGTGACCGCAGAGGGTTACTCTCTTAGGAAGAGTTCACGAGACCACTGCACCACCGTATACTGTACAGTCTGTATAGCCTACCTGGCCATAATCAACCTCGGGTGATTATGGCTACCACTATAGCACGGTCCTTGAATTACATCCTTTCCGTCACCGACCTCACGATCTATCGCCCTCCCCTTGCAAGTGGCTCACATTATTACTTCTTCCTTCTCGGCAAGGACACGGGCAATCTGGCGGTGACAGACCGACTAACTCGTACTACCCATCCCGTGCCAATCAATCCGGTCGGATAAGGATCAGAGAATAGATGAAATGGAATGAAGAGCTTCGGAAGCCGTGGAAGTCCCAAATCAATCTACATCACACTAGCTCGGAGGGCCGGACTGGTACGGTTCCACCTCTTGCACGGTGAAATTGAAGCCGGTACCCAATGACTGCTGCGGACGGCCATTCCCAATGCAGCGGATCTTCCTGAGCTCGCCTGCGGATTGGCGACTTGGACCATCAGCTTATCGCGACACGATCATTGGCCCTGATCCTCTTGCCACGTTGTTATTGGCCAGTGCTCTCCGACCAGCACGGACAGACCCCGAAAGGCCACCCAAGATGCTCTCAGTCTCCAGACTGGACGGTCGCCTCTCCAGGGCGATGTTCCCGCTGCCGCAGCTTCGGGCAAACTGGAACCCGCCTGGAGTCGATTATGTAACGGTTATGACTGACGCGGTGGGTTCATTGCCCCTTTGGGCTAGCTCTTCCGTTCTACCTCGGCCGTTGAGGGTTTGACTTGTCTGCTTAGCCTGCTTTGAGTGCTCTCCAGCTTCACTCAAGTCACTTTCACTGACACTGACTCGCTGCAGGCGGATCTTTTGCTGACCGACCGTTGAAGTTGGAGTCTTCGACGCCTCTGCACGGGATCCAAGCCCTGTCAACGTACACCCTACGACGGACAGAGTATAGGTCAGCTGGGCTCACTCGCGTACCTGACAGCTCCCGGAGAGATAATTGACCCGTCTGCGACTGTCTGAAACAGTATCCGAAATTGAGAGTCGTTCGGGAAGCCGCTACGGCGAGTCTAAATTGGTCAGGATTTTACTAGTCCTTCCATCGGGCTCGCTGGTTGGTGCGACCTGCAGCCATGGCTGTAAAAAATCCGCTGCCGTACAGGTGCAGTCAGCCCCCGGCACTGTCGGCCATCGTAGCTTCGACAGTCGCTTGCTCAATTGGACACAATCATCATTCAGTTGCCCTGTCAGGGCAGTCTAGACTCCTCCTCTTACTAAGGAAGCAGCCTGGGATGTTCACATACACTACTGCAGGATCCGAACCGTCTGTCCTGCCAATCGCCTTGTCTTCACTTGCAGGGACCAGGAATCATGACGACAATGGCGTCTATACCTCGCAGGGATGTATGAGCCAGGAACTATAGTTCGTTCTACTATATCGAAGGCGCTGGAAAGGTTTCTTCCGATGGTCTCAGTTTCGGGGCCAACCTGGAACGCAAGTCGGCATGGACGATGTAACCGCAATCGGCAGCTAGATCAGCAGCTAGAGCGCATCAAAACAAAGCGCGGGTGACGAGGCAGCAAGACGCCCTGCCCAACAATCCATCACCCTTAGGCTACTAGTCGCTGAGTAGCACAAGTCGCTAAGGAATAGTGCCAAGGCCAAGCCTTCTGGCAGCTGATCTATCAATCAACTGCCTGCCCCTATGAAAGCACAGGCATTTTCGATGATCGCCCTAACTCATTTTGAATTGGACGAGAATCAACTCCCGGTCCAAGGGGAATGGTCTCCACGACGCTTTGCAGAAGCATGCTACGGAGTAAACACGTACGGCATCGTATCAAACCGGCCGGATTGCTAAAGTAGAAACCTAAAAAGGCACACAACGACAGAAAACCCCTCAAGTTCTCGTTGGACCCCCGAGACTGAAGTTGGCTGGAGACTTCTTACAGCAATCCCCGGTGAAGGTGAAGGGAACGAAAACAGACCGAAAAGTCTCCGGGCCATTTTCTGTCTGTCTCGCCTTCTCCAAACTGGATGGAATTCCCCGGCAACCCGTTCTTCGCCTCCCGACACCAACTGCCAGCAGGGCCCGGAACCATGGGTCGAAGGTTGATGCTAAGGAGAGACTCGGGGAGGATCTTCGTCGATCCATCCTAAATCAGTAATTTCGTCGAACGCTCGTCGAAGGGCTCGAAGGGCTCGAAGCCCTCTCGCCCGTCCGGTGGTCCGAGAAACGATGCTGTCGTTCGAGAGATGGTACTCCGTAGAATCCATGTTTCTTCAAACTGTGAATACGGGGATAGAGGAGTCTTGATCAACGTGGGCTAAAGGGGGCCAAGGGGTCCAAGCTGGATCTTGGGGTCGTTTCGAGTCGATGGAGCATGTTTCTCTACGATCGGTAACAATCTGGTCACCTGGCTTGTTTCTCTTCTCTTCTCTGAACAATCGAGTTTAGCGCTCTGCTTTTGCTACGACAATGAAACTACTGTACTCCGTAGACATTTGCCTACACCGCACTGTTGTTTCGATGAAGAGACGACGAAGAGAGGGTGGAGAGGATGGCCGCAGGCACCAACGACTAAACAAGCTACTAACTACTCTCAGCGCTAGTAGTAGAGCAAAGTAAACAACAATCCACTATCCACGGAGTGGACTTGACCACGGAGCAATCAATCAGCATCCAAGACAACCACCCAAGCAGCCGAGCCGAGCACATCAAGCGACCCAGTCAGCCAAAGGCCAAGGCTCAGAGAGGAAACTCAGCTCGTGCGCGGAACCTTTTCTTCAATTTTGATCCACTTGTCATCTTAATCTCTCTCAGCAACCCGCGGAATCCTCATCAGAAAGTGTCCAGTGCCCCTCCCCCTTAGCGTTGAAGAATCCCGCCACGAATAGTAACGGTGTACGTATACTACCGTATACCTCGGCTCCTTACACCCGTCTACTCGTAGTAATGAATGCTCTACTCTTCACAAGCCAGATTATCCTTAAGATATCTTGCCCGAGAAGCATCGCCACATCGTGGCTGAGCTCTTCGTGCCCTCTTTTCTCACGTCTGTCTCCATCGATTCGCGATGCATTGCCAAATATACTTCTTCACAACATCATCGACTACGTAGTCTAGACTCGAATTAACTCTACTCAAAGCGACAAGAGCAGTTAAAGCCGAGTTTTATACTCTACACCAAGAAAAATCTTAATCTTCCGCTACAAGCCTAGCCTACAAACTCCCCCTCCAACAGCGCAAAACATTTTCTAGTAGTCAGTCTAAACCTACCCAAGTCTAGTTGGTGTATGTAGTGCAGTGCAGCAGCCCTGTCAATCATCCCTCACCTCACCCCTCGACCGGACCGGTCCAAAATCGAATCTCGGTCGAGAGACAGAGAAAGATCTCAAATGCATGAGGATCTCGATTTGGTTTGGTTTGGGCGCCGGTGATTTCCGCTAGGTTGGATTGGGTTTAACCTGCACTTTTGCAGATGGTGGTGCAGTTCTGTGGATTGCAGCCGGAGGGGGGGGGGGGGTTGTTTGTTTGTCTTCTGCCTGCAGAGTATGTACTGTACTATACACTACGGAATATGTAGGTGATTGTTTTAGGTGATTGGATTTGCTTTTTGCTTAGGTTGGCTTTTAGAGGTATTTGGGGATGGGTGCAGTGGGCTGTGTGCGTCAACCAACTCTTTAGGGGAATGCATACCACCTCAAAATACGGAGGACTCGTAGATGTGTACGTGGTCTGTTTCGGGTGTTGTGTTGGGGAGCCTGAGGGGGCCATAGTTTAATCAGATGGAGGGGTGTCAGAATTCAAAAAGTCAGGACGGGTCGAGAGAATTGGGGAATCGGGGATTGGTTGGGTGGGGTGAGAGGACGGAGGGGGTTGTGGGTGCGCGCTGCGCGCACTGCAGTTGTTTGCTCAGAGTACTGTACTGTACTCTACATTATTGTGCCAATTCAACGTTGGCCTGAGTCTCGTCTAGGACTTCCTTAGGCAAAGGAAAGGGGAAGTGCTATCCGCAGTGCCGCCGCACTCATCTTTCGCCGGGATTTGAGATTGCCAGAGCCGAGAGATCTTCCCGTGCAGTACAAACATTCCATTTTCCTTTGCGGTTTCAGTAATCATTTGAGATGAGACGCTTCAGATTCCGGCGATCAATACAGCCATCACCATGGATTTCACATGCAAAAAGCTTAAGTCTACATGAATACAACACTTCGTACTTTGTGACCCGGACTTGATGCCTGAGCCCTTGCTTGCAGTGATGCACATAACTCAATGCGCATGATATACATAGTTGGCGTCCGTGTACCCCCGTACATGGATCAAATTCGATATATCAATATCGCCCAAAAGCCACACACAGGCAGTAGTGGTCAGAGATCGGATGGAATGTGCAGTGCACTGTCTCCGTATGCATCCATCCTCCTTCGATGGCAAGCAGGGAGATGAGTCCATTCGGTTTCTCCTGGATATGTTGGACCCGGATCAGCTGGTGGCTACTTTCTATGAGTATTCTACGGAGTACTCCGGGCAACAGCTATGTAGTTGCGGTGTTGGCCAATGACACCGCCACCCGGTGATGGAAATGTGGCAAAAGGGTGGCACCCGCCCGTGACCCCGTCCTCATGGCTGTGTCTTCACCGGGCGCTCATCGACATCGGTCACCTGACCCTGACTGGCCTCCCCCCCCCGCCGCCACGATAAGGAAGCAGCGGGGAGGAGACTCTCTAATCGCCATCACCGGGCAGCTCAGTGGCGGCGGGGTTCGTTTCCATGTTCTCCAACCTCGCCTGTCCCGAACCAAGTGGACTTGTTATCATTCAATCAGATTGTTGTTAGCTAAACCTCAGCTCTCACCGGAATCATTCCAAGAACAACCCTTGCCACCTCTACACAGCATGCTCTCATATGATGAGAATGGGTTTGGTTGGGGAAGTTCATCCATTCCCCGTTCAGGTCACCGACCCGAGACTCTGGGGACTTGGGGACTTGGGGACTTGGGGACTTGGGGTGCAATGTCAGTTACCCCTTTCATGATCACTCCAGTTGGCATGTATCAAGGATCGGTGTTAGAAGGATGAGCGGTCTCGGGTTTGTTTGAGGGGTCGATCTGCAGCGCACGGAATGCAGGCGGGGTAGAGGGTGCGGCTTGCGAGTACTACTGTACTGTATGTACATTGACCGTCTCTGCGTTGTCGGGATGAGGGGGTCAGAAAGTCTTCATCAACAACAACACCGGCTAACACGATGCCGGTGTCCTGATCATCGACTTGAGGGTGGTTTTGCCGAAGAAACCCCTACTGTGGTAAGCTGACGGTCTTGTTCTCACAGCTAAACCCATCTCGCTACCAATGACGCCAGGGTCCCTCTATTACTGTTATCTATGGCGTCAGTCAAGATAAGATCGCATCGCGGACCCCACTCAAGGCACATATCAGTCTCACAGCTGTGTACCCATACTTTGGAGGCTCTTCCACCAGCCACATCACTGACTCCAAGTCGACTGGCTAATTAGGGGACTCTCATTTCCGTACGAGTGGTACTTGGATGCTTCGGTTTCCGATCCTAGTAACGACCGGGGACGCTTGCGTCACATGGCACCCTTTCTCCGAGCCGATCAGATACAATGCAACCTGATTGAACACGGGCCACTTTGAGGTCTAGCCACCCCTCTTCCAAGGCCTCAATAGCCTGGACTGACCGTGTCCAAGATTTAATGGCGCTGACACGTGTGTATCTGCAACCCCGATTGTAATCAGTGCGTCATATGAGGGGTTCCTAAGTCGGCCCCAATCAGGATATGGCACCCTCCCGGCCTATAGACCGAGATAACAACCAGTTGCGGGTGGTTGTCGGGCCCAGAACGAGCTGGGCAGCATCGAGGCTCTATGTCGATATCGAGATGCCTCGACAGGAACAGTACCGACTCGACTCTCATGCCTCTGGAGGGGATCGCTTAGGGCGCTTCCGTGACAGCTGACAGTCGATGCACAATCTGGTGTACCCCGCACCTGCGTCCCTGTGTTACTCACATGCGGACTGCGCTGGAGGGGTACAGCATGCCGCCCAACGCGTACCCTGTACGTGAATTGAATATGCAGCTCATAGTTCTGATGGCGTCCTAGCCCCATGACACGTGTGAACCTGGTGTGGATCATGTTTGGATCCCTGTTGATGCCCTAGGACGACAAAATGTCGGAACTGCCTGCTATTGATCTCGAAGCGCTGTATGCGCGAGTCGCGTTGCGACCGAAGGCAGAATCAATCGGAGATTGTACAGTCGGACTCCAGGATGGCCCTGCTCGCAACCCGAACGCACTCGGCGTCGGGGCTTCTTGGTTGTTGCAGCCTCCGGCTCAAATGATTCATTTCTCGTATCGAAGCCGCATGGCTGTCACTCACCCGATGCCTGTGATATGACTCGACGAGCTCTTTACAGACCGCCATTTGAGGCTGCGATGTCTCTCAACTATTCAGCGGAATCCCATTTGTCCGGAGATTGTGCATCCATATGACAGATACTTGATATGCATGTGCTCTTTGCGTTGAGGTGTCACCACTGTTCGCGCAGGCTCAGGTCAGATTCTCCGCAGAATGTATACAAACTACCAATGTCACCGATAGGTTTTGAGCCGAAATGATGGCTTACGATCAGTCGAGATGGCTTGTTTCAAGCGTAAAGACGCGAAAGAGATGTTGCATCTCTATCAGCAGGACGAGGTAATCACAGTCATTCGGTGCATTCTGTCCTCCCTTCCCGTGTTGCTTGACAGCTCTCATCTGTATCAGCTACGGGTACGATCACATGCCAATCCGTGGAAGCATTTGACAACTGGTTGTTGCATCAGATTGATGACCAGACAGTGCCATTCTCATGTCCGTCGGTCGAGAGGTTTCGCCAATCTCGGGTAGATGTTATGTTAAATCACAATAATCTGTCGCCGTTGTCAAAGGTTTACGTCACGGGTGGCCGCACACTGACCATCGGCAAGCGACCGCTGTGTTGTTGGATTAAGGATGTTTGCTCCATCCTGCATGCGATACATTCGAACCACGGTGTGCTCATCATCCGAGGAACATGCAGCAGAAAGCAAACTACATTGCGACTCACGGTTCAACGTCAGCGGATGTTCTACGTTCTCAGTCTGAGCAACGATTGTCGTTAGTCCCGATCACGACGATCCTGGTAGGATGCGATATTGTCCTTTTGCAGATCTTACGGTAAGAGCAAGCCGGAATTCGTCGTCTCGTCGAACCCAGGGCGTTTGCTGCTTGCATCAGTCGATCGTATAGGTTTCATGATTCTGTAGGAACGGTATCAAGCTTATTCGTTGTTTGTAGTCAATGCTAAGGTGAAAGCCAGGTTTCGTCTTCACTCTCAATTCCGAGTCAAGTGATGCTTTATCGGACGGGCCTACACTTTCGCCTACGTAGCGGGCCGAGAAAGATTCGTTCTCAGACATTATCCGCGTCACGGGTCCTCTATATCATTCAGAATTAAACAGTAAGCGTTGGTCACAAGCGCTAATAGTGTAGTCATTCTTGAGCATTCACTCAACTGCTCCTAGGTATGGATAGTATCCGTTGTTGTGCTGATCATGTTAGAATTTCCTGCAACCCCACTGCCATTTCGAGAGTCTTGGTGTCCGACGAGCAGTATCATGGCGGTCGCGCGACGCTTTGCTCAGTCATTAAAAGCAAGCTTACGATGAAGGCTTGCAGTATTCAGTTTAGGCGCGCGTTGAACATTATGGAGCGCGTCGCCGCGTCCCCTACGTTATGGCTCATTATATGTGGTCATGAGTAGCAAGCTTTAGCGCAGGGAGCTATTCATTGTCTGAAGTTATACCACAGCTGACTGACACTCTTAGGGAGTACAGAGGACCCGTTTTGCACGTTGACCAAATGCTGTCTCGGATACCATAGGCGAGCAACAAAGATCCTTCCGAGGTGCAGGAAGTCTCCCTAGTTTCACCTCGTTCCGCCTGTCTAGAAGTGAATCCTTCGCATGTTCGGAATGAATCCTTCGCGTGAACACAATTAAAAATATATCATCCGAAGGACGTTACGAGCTCCTGGTCACGGATCATTGTCCGACAGCCTGTATCCTCCGAGCCGGTCGCTTCCGGACTAGAAGCGTAGGCTCGAGACAGTCACAGTTGTCTCAATTGCTACTACTCCGAGTTGAATCAGTAGTACCATTCGGGTATCCAGGCTGACTCCCGTGCTGTTTCGCATGCTTCAGGTTCTCCGGGAAGACTATCCGGGACTTTGTCGAGGGTAACTCTCAAGACAGAAATCTGCACGAGACCGGAAGTTCGCGCAACAGACCAGGAATAAGCGAAGCGAGGGTCGATAGTCCAGCGGCTAAAGGAATAGTGGTCGCAACGGGCCGGGCATAATCTTCAAAAGAGGATGGAATTTCCGCCTCCGGCTTGAAAAACCCTGACACCCCTGCTGCTTTGGCTGGGCTAGTTGGATCTAGCACGGCACCGTTCGAGATGGCGCCGGCTCTACATCAGGCGTGCGCAATCATCATGTTTGTTTCGAACGGGGACTCGCTCTGCAGAATAAGAGCGAGCGACCGGTTGGTTGCTGGAACAAGCATTGCTTTATGATCTCTCACCTGCAGGCTGATCAGCTGCAGGTACGAATCCTGGTAGGCACGAGGCCGATGGTTCACTCCAGCTGGCGTGGACCACAAGGCAGGGAATGAATGCAGCAATGCGATGAAAATTAACTTTGCAGCTTGTCTCAAATGCATAGAGTGTTTAAGTATTAGTGTGGCCCAATCTCCACTGGGGATTGGTTCTACGAATCCGCTTGGTTAGTGGTTTGAATTGTCTTACGCCAGCGTCCTTTGTGACTCGTTCTTGATTTGGGACGAGTTCCTGAAGTATGGAGAATGGAGATTCGTTGACTGCGGCTGGTGGAGCCGGCAGACGGACAACTGAGAGTTTGAGAGGTTTTTTTGCTGCTTGGTTGTGGGCGGAACTAATGGAGAGTACTTGGCTGTGGGCAACGGCACGCTCCGTCCGGATTTCCGAAGATTCCGTGACCAATTTGAATGTCTAACCCTGTGGTCCTGTGGCCCTCTGGTCCTCAGGGACCGGGGAATGATCTGTGCTTTGGGGAGTGGTATGGGGTCGATTGTTGGCTAGATGAGGCCCATATATTGCTTTTGATAGTACTTACTATAGACAATGTGTAGTGCCTTTGGTGTAATTGGTGTAATATCGGTGGTCGCTTGGCGTGTTCAGTCGGTTATTGGCTGGTGTTAGGGTAGACCGTCAACCGTAGACAGGCTACAGCCAAAGTGTCGGCCATGTGTCAGGTTGATTATCCGACATAATGATAAGAGAGGAAGGGAGTGTCATCGTTGTGAGTCAATTGATGCATGCAACAACCCATGTGTCGCGTGCCTGTCTATTGTAGTTGTTAATGTCATTGTTGTTAGGTTGTTAGGTTTGTTGTTTGTTGAATATGCATGATGACTTAACCCCGTCTTGGATCAACTTACTCTCATCCATGGCTCCTCCTTGACTAAGATACGCACTTCTCTCGACTCTCTCTCACTCTCTTGTCGATCCCTGCCTTCTGCTTCAATGCTTCATCCATTGGGGCAAAGTTAATATCCTTTAACTTTCACCCAAGGATGAACTAACCACACACCAAATGGGGAATCGCATGCTGTTCCCTCCTCTCGTTGGCTGTCTCTGCCTCTCTTCCCCCTTGCCGCTCTCCGGTCGTCGTACGATCGAGATCTTTGCGCTCTCACTCTCTTGTCTCTCTTTCGCTCGTGCGGCGTACCTGATGGTCCTACAGCCTGCTGAACTTTTCGGCGGGAGGCGAAGGAAGTAATAAACCCTGCATGCATTAGTGGAAGTCGAGAAGATTGAAAAAGCACTCAAGCAAACCAGTTCTCTGCCCCTGGTCTTTTTTTTTCTTCCTTGCTTGTTTGCTTCTTCTTCTTCTCCTTCTTCTTTTGCTACGTTGCTCCTTTCTTATCTCTTTCATCAATCTCCTTTCCCTACCTTGTGGATAAGATAAGATCTCCCATGCTTCGCACCTAAACAGCATGGAGCAGAAGCAGCAGCACGAGGCCAAGCAATATGCCGGCGATCCCGCGGCGATCGAGTTGCATTCCCCCTCCGACGGTCGTCGTTCGTCTGTCTCCGCCCCCATCAATGCTTCCGGCCACAAGCAGGAGCTCGATCGGAATTTCGGCTTCATTAATATCTGTGGTCTGGCCTTGACCAGTGGAAATACCTGGATTGCCTTGGGTGGAAGTATTGTATGTGTATCTTGTCGACCATGGTGGTAGTGGTGGATAGTGGCTGACTGCCGTGCACAGGTCACAGCGATCTATGATGGCGGCCCGCCCGGTGTCATCTATGAGATGTATGTTGGTTCTACTGCATTGTTTCGGATACGCGTGAAAAGCTGACTGTCGCTTGCAGGATCGCCGCCTCCTTCTTTTACTGGTTCATCGCCGCCTCCCTGGCCGAGCTGGCCTCGTCCATGCCATCCTCCGGTGGAGGTGAGTCCAATCCTATCATGGAAGGACTGATGATCAAAGGACTAATGTTTGATGCGCTCGCTCAACAGTCTACCACTGGGCAACCATCACCGCTGGTAGATACGGACGTCCGGTCGGCTTCTTCGCCGGATGGTGGAACTTCCTGGCCTGGATCTTCGGCGCCGCATCCACGACGCAGATTCTAGGCACACAGGTGGTGTCGGCCTACGCGCTCTTCCACCCCGACTACACCATCCAGCGCTGGCACGTCTTCATCGCCTATCTGATTTGCTCGATCGGCTGCTGTCTGACCGTCGCCTTCGCCAACCGGGCGCTTCCCATGATCGAATCCGTCGGCGGAGCATTGACGGTGGCCGGTTTCCTGATCACAGTGATCGTCTGCGCGGTGATGCCGCACGTCAACGGCCAACCCTACGCGACCGATGACTTCGTCTGGCGAGACTGGCTCAACGAAGCCGGCTACAGCAGCAACGGCTTTGTGTTTTGTTTGGGAATGTTGAACGGAGCGTTCGCCGTCGGCACGCCGGACGTGATCTCGCACCTGGCGGAAGAGGTCCCGCAACCGGGCAAGAACATCCCCATCGGCATGCTGGCACAGTACGTGATGGGCTTCTTCACGGCGTTCCTCTACCTCATCGTCCTCTTCTACGGGATCACAGACCTGGACGCCGTCCTCGACGCCCCCTACCTCTACCCGTTGACCGAGATCTACGTCCAGATCACCGGCTCGCGCGGCGGCTCCCTGGGTCTGATTATCGTCTCGCTCCTGCCCCTGGTCGTGGCCATCATCGGCTGCTATCTCACCTCCAGCCGTGTCCTGTGGACGCTCGCCCGCGACGGCGCCACCCCCTTCAGCGACTACCTCCGCCGCGTCGACCCGACGCACAAGAACCCCCTTGCCGCGGTGCTCGTCAGCGGCGTCATCCCCCTCGTCCTGGGCTGTATCTACGTCGGCAACTCCACCGCCTTCAGCGCCTTTGTCAGCTCCTTCGTCGTCCTCACCACCATATCCTACCTCGCGGCCATCCTGCCGCACCTCCTGCGCGGGCGTCAGGGCATCCCCCGCGGGTGGTTCTGGATGTCCGGCCCCGTGGGCTTCATCGTCAATGGTGTCACGTGCGCCTTCATCATCGTGTTCATCGTGATCTTCTGCTTCCCGTTCTCGATGCCCGTGGATGCCGAGACGATGAACTACACGTGTTTGATCACGGGCGGGTTCACGATTCTGATTGCGGCCATCTGGGTGGCGAAGAAGGGGGATTATCAGGGTCCCACGATAGTGGCGTTCGAGAGCGAGGCTCTGGCTAAAGATGCTATCTAGTATGAATTTCTGGATGAGAATCGGCAGGAGCAGAGCGAAGATGTGGTTATATAGCATATTTTAATATTCAGACGCAGGTGGTTTTCTAGACCTGGAGGTAATTCAAAAGTCGTTGATTCTTTCCTTTTTTCAATTGATTCATGAAGGTATCGTGTGGTGCTGGTGTTGCTGTAGAGTGGTGAGTTTACCTGTGGTTACCTTGCCGGTACTACTACCGGTAGTCCTACCGGAGCGCTGAAATTCTTAGCTTCGAAGAAGATCGGTCTCATATTTGAGGTTTAAATGTTGTACTCAGGGATTCCAGTGCGGTGTAGTCCAAACTGAGTCCATGTTTCACTTGTGGCTAGCCAGTTTGGACGATGGCCTTCTTTGCGTGTCTCCTGATCCCTTCTCTCACTGCAATGTTGTACTGCGGCCCTTGAAGGCGATGCTATGCCCGAAGAGTTTCGTGGCTTGGACTCCAGGTCCGTTGACATCCCACGGAAATTGAGATTCCCTTCGGAGATTGTCATAACGACAAGGGGCACTGAGGGTCAGCAAGGGATCGAAGAGGTATTGTAGAGGTCCGGCATCGTCGTCAGCTGCTGGTCTGTACAGTACATTCGGGCAGACAGTCAAGACACTGCGTGTAATCAGGCTCGTGAAAGTGCTTGTAACGCAGATTCATCTGTTCGAGAGAGCTTAGCAATCGGGCGCATTGAATGGTCCTGACTGAGACCAATGATTAGCAATTTGATCAGACATTAGCCTGTCCAGGATGCGGGTCTCACCGACTCAATATTTCACAAACATGTTTTCTGGCTAGTGGTTTTTTGGGTCAGTAGGCTGCTGCTGTATGTACAGGAACTGCCGAGAGGACCGGTAGATGTAGTGTTGGGGAAGAATCGCACGACATCGGATGATGTCCGACAAGGTCATTTAACCGACTGTGACGCAGTTCTCTGCAGACTCCTGCAAGGTTCTTCTCTTCTCCTCAACTCCTCCGCAACTCCTCCGCAACTCCTCTCCGGCTAAAGGCAAATCAAGCAACGTCAAGCTAGGCAAACTAGGAAGGATTCAGGCTAAAGGGAGGAAGGGAAGATGATCGACACGCCTCTGGCACCGCATCGCCGGTTCTCCGCAGCCACCCCGCATCTATACTCGACGCCATTCAACTCACCTCACCTCGACTATAAATTCCTCCACATTTGCCGGCACAATTGAACTTGCAGTATGACGTTGTCGCTCAATTCCCCAAATCCTCCCCATCGTTCTCCTTTCAACCACAACCACAACCACCACCATGGCTGTGGCAGCTCTTGCTCTGCTGGCTCTCCTGCCTCAAGCTCTGGGGCAACATAACAGCAGCTACGTGGATTACAACGTCGAGGCCAACCCGGACTTGTTTCCGCAATGCTTGGACACAATCTCCCTGTCCTTTCCTGATTGCCAGAGCGGTCCTCTGAGCAGGAACCTCGTCTGCGACTCGACCGCCTCGCCCTATGACCGCGCCGCGGCTCTGGTCTCCCTCTTCACCCTCGAGGAACTCATCGCCAACACTGGTAACACCAGCCCTGGTGTCCCTCGTCTGGGTCTGCCTCCATACCAGGTCTGGAGTGAGGCCCTGCATGGCCTGGCTCGCGCGAACTTCACCGACAACGGGGCATACAGCTGGGCGACGTCCTTCCCCTCACCCATTCTCTCCGCAGCGGCCTTCAATCGCACCCTGATCAACCAGATCGCCTCCATTATTTCCACTCAGGGTCGTGCCTTCAACAACGCCGGCCGCTTTGGCCTCGACGTCTACTCTCCGAACATCAATACCTTCCGCCACCCAGTCTGGGGTCGTGGACAGGAAACTCCTGGCGAGGATGCGTACACTCTTACGGCCGCCTACGCCTACGAATACATCACGGGTATCCAGGGTGGCGTGAACCCAGAGCATCTGAAGCTCGCCGCAACAGCCAAGCACTTTGCCGGCTACGACATCGAGAACTGGGACAACCACTCCCGGCTGGGGAACGATGTCAACATCACGCAGCAAGACCTGGCCGAGTACTACACGCCGCAGTTCCTCGTGGCCGCGCGCGACGCCCACGTCCACAGCTTCATGTGCTCCTACAACGCCGTCAACGGCGTGCCCAGCTGCTCCAACACCTTCTTCCTGCAGACCCTCCTGCGCGACACCTTCTCCTTCGTCGACCACGGCTACGTCTCCGGCGACTGCGGCGCCGTCTACGGCGTCTTCAACCCCCACGGCTACGCGGCCAATGAGCCCAGCGCCGCCGCCGATGCCATCCTTGCCGGCACCGACATCGACTGCGGCACCTCCTACCAATATCACTTCAACGAGTCCATCACCACCGGGGCTGTCGCCCGCGACGACATCGAGCGTGGTCTCATCCGGCTGTACGCCAACCTCGTCGAGCTGGGCTACTTCGACGGCAACAGCAGCAGCAGCAGCAACCCGTACCGCAGCCTGGGCTGGTCCGACGTCCAGAAGACAGACGCATGGAACATTTCCTACGAAGCGGCAGTCGAAGGCATCGTCCTCCTGAAGAACGACGGCACCCTCCCTCTCGCCTCCCCCTCCGAGGGCAAGAACAAATCCATCGCCCTCATCGGCCCCTGGGCCAACGCCACCACCCAGCTCCAGGGTAACTACTACGGCGACGCGCCATACCTCATCAGCCCGGTCGACGCCTTCACGGCCGCCGGGTACACGGTACACTACGCCCCCGGCACGGAGATCTCGACGAACTCGACGGCGAACTTCAGCGCCGCGCTCTCCGCGGCGCGCGCCGCCGACACCATCGTTTTCTTCGGGGGCATCGACAACACCATCGAAGCCGAAGCCCAAGACCGCAGCTCGATCGCCTGGCCCGGCAACCAACTCGAGCTGATCTCGCAACTTGCCGCGGAGAAATCCGACCACCAGCCCCTGGTGGTGTACCAGATGGGCGGCGGCCAGGTTGACTCTTCTTCCCTGAAGTCCAACCCGAAGGTCAACGCCCTCCTCTGGGGCGGCTACCCAGGCCAATCCGGCGGCCTCGCCCTGCGCGACATCCTCACGGGCGCCCGCGCCCCCGCCGGCCGCCTCACCACGACCCAGTACCCCGCCGCCTACGCCGAGAGCTTCTCCGCGCTGGACATGAACCTGCGGCCGAATGAGACCACAAAGAACCCGGGCCAAACCTACATGTGGTACACCGGCGAGCCCGTCTACGAGTTCGGCCACGGCCTGTTCTACACCACCTTCAACGCCTCCCTCCCCTCTACCCAAAACACGACCACCGCAGCAGCACCGAAGTATACCTTCAACATCTCCGACCTCACCTCCTCCGCACACCCCGACACCACGACCATCGGCCAACGCACCCTCTTCAACTTCACCGCCTCCGTCACGAACTCCGGAAAGAGGGTTTCGGATTACACCGCCCTGGTGTACGCCAACACCTCGACTGCGGGCCCCTCCCCGTATCCGAATAAATGGCTCGTCGGGTTCGACCGGCTCGCCGCCGTGGCGAAGGACGGCGGCACGGCGGAGTTGAATGTGCCGGTGGCGGTGGATCGGTTGGCCAGGGTGGATGAAGAGGGTAATACCGTGCTGTTTCCGGGGCTGTATGAGGTGGCGTTGAATAATGAGCGCGAGGTCGTGGTCGAGGTGGAGTTGGTGGGTGAAGAGGTTGTTTTGTTGAAGTGGCCGGAGGAGGTGCAGGGGGTTGAGGGGGATGAGTAGGGTTGTTGCGGAAGAAGGAGGGGGGAGGGGATTAGGGTTGATGAGGATATATAGTACTATACCGTTACCACTAGGTGGGTATGCATCATGTATGCAAAAGTTAGACATTCGGGATTTGGAATCGTTTCCTTTCTCTGAGAGCAGGCAAGCCAGCAAGCAAGCAAGAATAACACGCTATGTACAGTACACACCCCTCCCCAGGCACTAGTAAAAGATGATAATAATGAACAGAAAAGTAAACGCCCTCCGTGCAACTTTTGGTCTATATTCGATAACATACTCCGGGAGGGGAAGGGGGGGGGGAAATAAAAAGCCCATAAGCTCACCCTACCGATCTGCCTCACCTGTCCTAGTAATGACAACACCCCTAAATACTAGACAGACCTACCGCTTCTCCTTCTCCTTCTCCTTCTCTTTCCCCCCGCTCCGCACCTCCCGCTCCAACACATCCAACGCCTCCGCATACCGCGCGCGCGCCTCCTTCATCCCCTCCAGACTAACAGCCACCCTATGCACCTTCTGCGGGCGGTCACCACCGTCAGCCCCGACGCGCACGATCGGCCCGTCCGCGGCGCCGCCGATCTGCTGCGCGAACCACTTGCCCTCGCGGTGGGCGACGAGTGTCCAGGCCGCACCGGCCTGGCCGGCGCGCGCCGTGCGGCCCACGCGGTGCACGTAGGTCGTCACGCTGGTCGGCACGTCGTAGTTGACCACGTGCGTCAGCCGGGGCAGGTCGAGGCCGCGCGAGGCGCGGTCCGTCGCGATGATGATCGCGAGCTTGCCGCGGCGGTAGGCGGTCAGGGTCTTGCGCGAAGCTGAGGATTTGTTGGACTTGATGATCGTGCCCGTGCGCGACGCGAGGGTCGGGTCTAGTAGCGCGAGAAGGCGCGCGAGGCGCGAGGCGGATTCGGAGGATTTGGTGAAGATGAGGACGGTCGGGGTGTTTTTGTTTGTGCTGGAGGATGTGGAGGGGCGGGGGCGGGTGAGTTTGGTTCGGGAGGAGGTGGAGGAGGTGGAGGAGGAGGAGCTGTCGCTGTCGGAAGAATCAGACTCGCTGTCGGAGGTGTCGTCTGATTCGGAGTCCGAGCCTGAGCTGGATGTGTCCGAGTCTGAGTCCGAATCCGAATCCGAATCGTCCGAGCTGGACTCGTCCGAGGAGGTTTCATCGGAGGATGTGTCGTCTGACGAGGTATCGTCCGAAGTGTCCGAATCGGAGGCCTTGGCCGCTTGTTTGATGCCGTTGATTTGAATGTGGGAGAGGAGAAGGCGCAGCAGGTAGAGTGGCTTCAGGGACCCATCGCCCACCGAGATTGAGTGCTCCTGCAAGGTCGGCGGCAGGGTGAACTGCTCGTCGGCGCCGGCGATCACGCCACTCTCGTCGTCGCCGACGGCGGCGGTTTCGGTGGAACCCACAATGACAAGCTTGGGGTTGGCGAGTCGGAGAGAATTCAACTTCGTCACGTCCCGGGTCATGGTCGCACTCAGAACCACCTTCCTTGGCTCCCTACTATGAATCGGGAGGCCCAGCTCCGACAGGAAAGTCCCGCTGAAGCCAAACGCCTCGGGGGATCGGCGCGCATCCAGCGAGTTCATGACCACGTCAACCCATTCTTGGAAGCTCTCGTTGAGCAACCGATCAGCCTCGTCGATCACGAGCCATTCCAGGTGCTTCAGCGTAAAGCCTTTTGTGTAGCGGATGTGGTCGACAAGGCGACCCGGGGTACAGATGAGAATGTCAACGTTCGGTTCCGGACGGTGCACGTACCCCGGTAGAGCCTCGCTGGAATCCACCGCGTCGGCGATATAATCCTGCAAGTTGAAGTTGGTCCAGTCGTCCCCAGACATTTTCACATTCTGGCGGCGCTGGAACGACGCGGGCCCGTACACCTGGTCAATGCGCATCAACGAGCGCTGTTCGTCCTTGATGGCTACATTACCCACAGCCGATCCCACCCGCAGGCCGGAGCCAGCAACACACAGCTCACACGCCTCGCGGGCCTGCTTCACCAATTCTCGGGTTGGCACGACAATGAGACCCCGCAGCCTAGGGGCAGGGATCTGCTCAAGCGCGGTGACGAGCGGTAGAACGTAGGATAGGGTCTTTCCGGAACCGGTGGCTGCAGAAACACAGACATCGCCGGCGTGGTTCTTAGGGCCCTGGAGTAGCAGGGGGATGACCGTCGACTGCACAGCAAACGCTTCCTTGTAGCCGTTATCCTCCAATACCCGCAGCAGGTTCGCATTAATTCCCAATTCAGAGAACTTCGTCTTCTCGGTCGCCGAGGTCCGCAGGGGATTGGCCAGCCAGGCCGGAAGCGACGAGTATGTAGGCTTCTCAAACACCTCGGGGACTTGCTCAGGCTGTGGTAGAGGCTCCAAGCCTTGCGCGACAACTGGCTCGGCCGTCAACAGTCCTGTAGAGTCGTCTTCATCTGTATCCTTCTTGCGTGCTTTTTCCAGCTCTCTCGCTTTCATTGACTTTTCGAACTTCGACCTGATGCCCGCAAACTTGTCCTTCGGTTTTGTGTCGTCATCCGCCTGAGTAGACTCTGAAGCTCGGGCAGACTTCTTCGAGTCCTTGGCGCTCTTCTGCTTGACATCTTCTAGATTCGCAGGTTCCTCAGCCGATTCAACAGCAGTTTCTGATGTTCGTCGCTTCGAGTGCTTCGATTTCTTCTTGTCTTTAGCGTCCTTGCTTGGAGAAGATGCTTCGCTGCGGAGCGTCGAGACAGCACTCTCCTTCGGGGCCGATTCTTCCGGAACAGCACCGTCGACCGCCCTCGTGGATCGCTTTCTCTTCTTGCGGACGTCTGAGGACGGGGTGGAGTCGGCTGCAGCACTCGGATCTTTCTTGGATTTCTTGGTCGGCGTGGGTGTCGAGGTAGCGACGGTGGAGCCATCAAGGTCTCTCTTCCTCTTGTGGGACTTCTTCGTGCTCGACGGGGTGCCTGAGCTCATGTGGGATGTTTCCTGACGCGCGGAGCGGTCGCCGGCCATGATCGCGAGGTCAAAAAGGGTCCTGGGCGGACTTTCGAAGAGGGGTGAATTGGAAATGCGGCGATCTTGCCTGTTGTTGCGAGTCTTTCTTTTTTCCAGCGGGGAATCTTTGAGACGGCAGAACAGCACACCGCCCGCATCGCCGCCCGCGCGTGGCCCTTTCGGGATGGCCTCATTCGGTCTCCTTTCTCCTCCTATCGCTCTCACAATCTCCCTTTTTTTTTTTTTGTGGCTTGGACGTGGTGATTGAGTGTGATATGGATGGCGGGTGAGCGGATATGATTGACAACTGCGCAGAGTCTCTCGAAGTCAGCTCAGGACTAGCCGCAGCCATGCCTTACAACATTGCGTGAGTCCCGTCGCATGTGGTTGTCGGAGCGAGTCTAATGGTCTGCACAGTATGGTCAGTGACTTCTTCTTCCCCCAACCAGGTAGGCACACTGCCCTCCAATTTCCGGCCATGAACTGACGTCCTGAGATCAATAGGTGGGGTGGAAAGTCACATCTACCAGCTCTCGACCGTAAGCAACTATACTTCATCCCTACCCTCCATGATGGTATACTCACCAGTCGAACAGAAGCTCATCGATCGCGGACACAAGGTCATCATCATCACACATGCGTACAAAGGGCGGACGGGGGTGCGATACTTGACAAACGGACTCAAGGTATACCATGTCCCATTTTTCGTGATTCACCGGGAGTCGACCATGCCGACGGTCTTCTCGTTCTTTCCGATCTTCCGCAATATCGTCATCCGCGAACAAATCCAGATCGTGCATGGCCATGCGAGCTTGAGTAGCTTCTGTCATGAAGCCATTCTCCATGCGCGCACCATGGGTCTTCGGACAGTGTTCACCGACCATTCGCTGTTTGGCTTTGCGGATGCGGCATCCATCTTGACCAACAAACTGCTCAAGTTCATCCTGAGTGATGTTGACCATGTTATTTGTGTCAGTCATACTTGGTAAGTAGACTTAACCGCAGCCTTCCAGAAAGCCCCGACTGACCTGCGCGCAGTAAAGAGAATACAGTGCTTCGAGCCTCCCTGGACCCGCTGATGGTGTCTGTGATCCCGAACGCAGTGGTGGCTGAGAACTTCCGGCCGGCAGAACCTCGGTCGGTAAAGCCCATCGGCCCTAACGACACTATCACGATCGTTGTCATCTCCCGTCTCTTCTACAATAAGGGTACCGATCTGCTCATCGCGGCTATCCCGAGAATCCTCGCGTCGCACCCGAATGTACGGTTCATCATTGCGGGGTCCGGTCCCAAGGCGATCGATTTGGAGCAGATGTTGGAGCGCAACGTGTTGCAGGACAAGGTTGAAATGCTGGGACCAGTCCGGCATGAGGAGGTTCGGGACGTCATGGTCCGTGGCCACATCTACCTTCACCCTAGCTTGACCGAAGCCTTCGGCACCGTCATAGTCGAGGCCGCCAGCTGCGGACTGTACGTGGTGTGCACACGAGTTGGTGGTATCCCCGAGGTGCTGCCTCAGCACATGACGACGTTCTCAAAGCCCGAGGAGGACGACATTGTTCTAGCAACTGGCAAGGCCATCGCTGCCTTGCGGTCGAACAAGGTGCGGACGGATCGTTTCCATGATCAAGTGAAGATGATGTATTCCTGGACCGACGTTGCCCAGCGCACCGAGCGAGTCTACCAGGGGATCTCCGGGGATATTAGCCCGGAGGAGTTTTACGGATACTACCCAGGCGAGGGACTGGAGGCTAGCGGCGACCGTGTGCGGAGCTTTGCGCTGATCGACCGGCTCAAACGATACTATGGATGTGGTGTGTGGGCAGGCAAGCTCTTCTGCCTGTGCGTGGTGATTGACTTCCTTCTCTACGCCTTCTTGGAGATGTGGTTCCCACGAGCGAACATCGACATTGCACGCAGCTGGCCGAAGAAAATACACCAACGGAACGACAACCACCCACTCGGGAACAACCAGAAGAACGACCGCGACCGCCTACATGCCAACTGACCAAGATCCTTATCTTTCTTCACAATGTCATTTACGTTGACCATTACCGATCCACATTTTTCGGCTGTTCATAGACAACCTTCAGATACCCTTCATGACAAGCATCATTGAATTCTTTTCTCATCAAGATTAATCATACATGAGCATTCGTGGGAAACCTTCTCGCTCGAAAAAAAAAAAAAAACAGGTTCCTTTTGTGTCCATAAGAGATTCACCAGGGTCCAGCCCCGACATTTTCGTTGAAGACTCAGTGCTTGTGGGTGTTGTCCCGCTTGGTGCCGGGCTCATACTTCCACTCGGCAGCAGCGGTGGTAGCGGGCTCGGGCTGGCGGTCCTCGGCAGCGAGAGCACCCTTGTCGCCGCGCTGGCCGGCGAGATGGCCCTCCTCGCGGTCGAGCGCCCGCTGGCCGGGGATTTCACGCTCGAACTTACTGTCGGCGTAGGCGCCGACGTTCTCGAGGCCGGCGGTCTGGCGCTTGCGGCCGGGCTGGCCGTCGTGGTGCAGCTCGGCGCTGGTTTGGCCGGAGCCCGGGTGGCCCAGGCCGGTGTGCACGTCCTGCGAGGTGGCGCCCATCAGAGTGTCCGCGGCGGAGGTCTTGACGGACTCCTTGCCGTGGCTCCGCTCGACGTTGGGGTTCAGGGCCTGGCCGCCGACCTCGCTGGTGGTGTTGGCGCTGTAGGAGCTGGAGGCGGGCGCTGTGCCGGCCGGGTGCGTCTGGGCGCGGAACTCGGGGGCGAAGTCGGCGGGCGCGACCTTGCGGCCGGGTTGGTGCTGCTCGACTGTTAGCTTGCTTGCCTGGCTTTTTTTCAAATCAGGCGACGACCAAGGGGATACGTACACCTCCCTCCTCAAGAGGAGCGGTCGGCTTGACGGAGGGCTTGAACTCGCCCTGCTGGGGGTTGGCAACGGAGTCGGGGTTGCTGAAGTGGCTCATTGTGATTACTGAGATAATATAGATTTGAAAATCGAGATTTCAAGATAATAGGAAGTGTCGCGTGATCCCTAAGCGTTCTTTGAACGACGTTTTGAATTGATTTCCAGAGCTCGGGCATGGACGGACGCACCTTATAAGTAGGGGGACCAGAGCTACACAGCAGGTAACTTAGGGCTCCCGAATCCAGACGGCGGGCGGCGGGAAGGGGGGGTTTACGTCAAGGTGACTTCGACTGACTTCATCTCCTTCCCCTCTCCTCGAGTATTCGAGATAACGTCATGCCATGCATGGATTTCAAGCAATTTAACGAGTCTGGACTTTTGTGTACTGGGGGTTTCGGAAAGGGCCGGTTTGGGGTGTGTCGGGCTTGCTGTGTTGGTGGCGAGGCGATTATGTTGGACAATACTCTCTCGCCTTGCGGCGGTCTAGCATATCTGATGAGAAGTACATACTATGTCGTGGTTTTATCGGGTGGTTACTTGCGGTCGGATGAGTATGCTCCGTGAGATTGATGATGTGAGTGCTGTGTTGGGTTGATCGTACACATGTACTATGTGTTGTGACATGGTTGATGTATGTGAGGTGAGGTGAGGCCTTCCTATACCTCTACATTGGCACAGCTCTACTACTTGTATCTGGTTCTATTGACCGATGCAATGAGGTAGCTATGCACATGGGAACGTCAAAAGGTATCATCAAGAATCACACAAAAGCAGAAATCATTTCAATCAGGTTAGGTATCTCTCATAAACAGGATGCTCCCAGGCGCCGAACGACAAAACAAAGATATCTCAAGATGGCCCACTGAAGGTGAGGAATGTACCACGGACGAGTCCGACCGAGCCCCTCTATCGAGAAGTATAGATGGGGATAATCACCGCATCACCGGCGGCCGACCCTCCTTATTCCACTTCACACGACTCTGCACCCACTCCACCGCCTCCTGCACGCCGGACCCCATCAGCGCACTCACCGGCAGCACGCGACTGTCGCGCACGCCCGCCCCGGACTCCCCCTCGAACACCTTGCGCACAAACCCCTCCTTGATGCGGACGACCTCGACCGAGTCCTCCCGATCCTGCTTGTTGGCCAGCACTAGGATGGGCACCCCGGCCACGTCGGCGTGCTTGAGCACCGACTCCAGCACCTGCCGGCACTCGTCCAGCCGCCCGAAGTCACTCCCGGGAGCGTTGATCCCGACGTTCTCGGCCGTGAAGGTGATCTGTGTTGGGGAGGTGGATCCGAGGTCGGCGCCGTCCTCGTCTTCGTCCTCCGGCTCCTCGGCGGTAGCTGCAGTCTTGTCGTCATCGGCAGCGGCAGAAACACCCCCGCTCGCGCGGCGCCGCTGCGGGAGGCGCGTGATGTCCGGGTTCTGGCCGACGTCGGCGCTGTCGACGACGAAGATGATGGCGTGGCAGCTAGTGTAGTAGCTCTGCCAGAGGTTGCGCATGGAGATCTGGCCGCCCACGTCCCAGATCTTTAGGTACATGTCCGGCAGCGAGATGGTGGCGACGTTCTGGCCGACGGTGGGGACGGTCTTGCCGATGCTGGCGGGGAGGAGCGAGGTCGGGAGGCTGCCATCGGCGCGCGGGGGTTGGTAGAGGGCTTTGATCTGAGAGAGGAGGGTGGTTTTGCCGGCGTTGTCGAGGCCGAGAAGGAGGACGGAGTATTCTGTGGGTTGGCGTTAGTTGGGTGCGTTCTGGGAAGTGTAGAAGGGGAGGGAGAAAGGCATGGGGACTCACCCTCTTTACTCGTAGCGTACATGTACAGCGACTTGGCGAGGTGATACATGGCGATGTGGCAGTGGTGGAGGTGGTTGCAACAACCCCTCCGGAGGATCCGATCAATTTGGACGGTATAGATGTGGCGGAGTGTCGATCATGTCATGGCAGCGTGGTGGTGCGAGATGCGCTCTCCTTCCTTCCTTCCTGGCTGTCTGTCTTCCTCTTTCTCCGCTGAGATGCCCGCTTATCGTGAAGGCGAGGCCGACGCCATGCGGGAGGCTCCGCGTCAGCCTGTCCGTCCTGAAACGGTAAGCAGGGCTTGGGTCATTGCCCTGAGCCCTAAATGCCCGAATCGTTGACCCCGCAGAGCCCGGAATGGGCATGTGAAATGCAGGGTCGATCCGTTGCCTGTCAGGTCAGTGCACTCATTTTAACTTGGATGATGCAGGAGGCAACCTGCAGGCGGAGTTGCTTTATTATTAGATGGTCATGACACTGAACGGTGTGACTGTTGACTTGTTGGTGGTGGTGGTGGTGGTGGTGGTATTGGTATAAGAACAATCAATGGCAGAACATCTTCAACTTCTCATCCAACAAGTCCAACCCCAGATTCATTGCTCTTTCAACACCGATTTCCTTGGCTGGGCGGGGGCGGAACCACGGCCAGGTCATGATTACATATTCTCATCGTATTTCTAGAAATATTCCCCGATTACGGCCAAATCCCGACTTCTTCTCCAACGCTCCAAGGGTGTTTTGTCAGCGAAAATCGAACGGTCCATTGTCCGCCTTGTCCGCCTGCGGAATTGCGCTTCCCTCCTCCTCCTCCTCCTCCTCCTCTTCTTTTTCTCTCACCATCCTTTCCTTCTCCCCAATTCTCCTCCTCTCACTTCTTCTTCCCCTTCCAGCTCTCGCTCATGTAACGGCCGCTCGATGGCCTTCCGCTCGGCATCTGTCTGCTTTTCCGCTGGGATCCACTGATCGCATTTCCCGCGCATGTCTCGGTCAGCATGCCCCGCGCTGGACGGCCGGCCGGCGGTCTCCCAGCGGCCTTCAATGGATAGCACTGACACCATCATTGTCGGTATGTCGTCATCTACATCCTCGCTCCTCGCAATTGGACCTCCTGTATGACCAGACAACTCTAATCGTCCTACAGGGAACGGCCCGTCAGCCATGATCCTGTCCTACATCTTCCATGGTCATATTCCCTACTATCAAGCCGATCCGCCGCATCCGGATCCCCTGCTGCATGCCAAGCTGCTGCAGAACCCGGCCCTGCTTCAGGCCGACGTGAACACGCTGACCGAGCATTTTGCCGCCTCGCGCTTGTCCTACTCCACCCAGGCCCTGCCGGTCAACGTGCTCCTCGATACCCTGGTCCGACCCAGTCTGGACGTCGAGGAGCTGGAATGCGTCACCAATGTCGAATGGCGGCACGAGCCTGAAAAGGCCGTGCCCCATTTGGTGTTCGGCGACGCTGCGTGCGCTGGCGGTCAATGGACCGAGAACCCCATGCCTGCGAGCTGGGATATCCAGACCCTGAGCTATGCATCGATGTTGTCGCTTCCGGGGTATTCGTTCGCCGACCACCACCGGGCAGTGACCGGGAAGGACCTGCCGGCATTTACGCGGCCCAGCCGGCAGGAGACGGCGGATTATTTCCGTCGGTATCCCGGGGCCGTGCACATCGGCGATGTCTTCCGCTTCAACGAAACCCTGTCGGGGATCTCGCGCACGGACCAGGGCTTCTATATCCGCTCCCACAATCTCCATTGTAAACATCTGGTGCTGGCCACGGGCATCTTCACCGAGGTGCTTCAGCCTAGTCCACTGCTGCAGCCGTTGCGGTCCCTCGAACCGGTCCCCTCCACCCCGTTGCTGGTCATCGGCTCGGGCTTCTCTGCGGCCGATGTCATCATTTCCGCTCCTAAGGATCAAAAGATCCTGCATGCCTTCAGGTGGGACCCTGAAGGCCGGCCGTCTCCTCTACGGGGGTGCCATCACCAGGCTTACCCGGAATATGCCGGAGTGTATCGCTTGATGAAACGGGCGGCACTGGCGGCGACTCCAGCACCGCCCAAACGGGGCAAGATGCGGCGGACAACGTCAACGCCGTTCCTGGAATCGCGTAAATGGGACGACGTCTACGAGGGTCTCCCCAATCTTGAGATCGTCAATGTCGAGATGGAGGCCGACCAGGCGCTCGTCACGTTCCGTCAGCGCGACGGGCAAACCCTCGTCCGCGCTGTTCGTGGGCTGGTCTATGCCACAGGCCGTCGCGGTACCCTGAAGCATCTTGATCCTTCTTTGCTCTCGGAAGTCTTGGGTCGGACGGATGCGGGTTCGACTGTCACCAACCAGACTTTACGCGACAAAGCACTCAACGACATGGAGGTGGCGCGGGATGTCTTCGTCATTGGTAGCCTGACCGGGGATTCTCTAATCCGGTTTTCCTACGGGAGTTGCGTCCAGGCGGCAGGCAAGGTCATCGGAGCGTCAACGGGGCAGGACTGGGTCTGGAACAGCTCGGCTCATACCTCGCGTCCATCATCGTCCTCCGTGGGGGTTCTGCGGGGGATTGACGGACATGACGTCTATCCGGCGGGAGCAAGTCGGTCTCCGGGTGACGAGGAGCGGTCGGTGTCATATACGATCCCGGAGCGAATCTTGCCCGGCGGACTGTGGAAATGGCTCCGGAAATGGTGGAATGTGAATTGATAGGGGATGTGATGTATATGATAAGATTTATGTTGAAAGGCCCTAGATCTGGCCACGGATTGATATGTTTATAATAGACATGACCTACTGCATAGATTGTATATAGCTGTGATTGTTTATAATGCCAGATATATGATACTTGCTGAAACTTGAAGTTGATTGAAAAGTATATGTAGTATCATGAAAGGTGTTTGACTGTAGGGAATATCCCCCATATTCATCCACGAATTGTCGGCAACCCACTCAACCCATAATCTGCAACTGGTCGTCCGGCGGCCACCGAGTCTGCGCGAAGCTGAGACACCGCTTGATACTCTGGAGATACTTGCGAGTGCTTTCGTCGCTTAGGATGTGGGCCTGTTGATCGCTTTGATGCAACTTTTCGCGCGCTGAACGCTCGTGGATACCCACCATGGTCACACCAATGGGCCACGCACTGCAACACCAACATCAACAACGCGTTAGCCAACATTCATCCCAGGTTAAAAAAAGAAAAAAAAAAAAAAAGAACAGGGGGACATACGCTTTTCCAATACTCAACCGCAGATATGCATCATTGGCATCGACATAGCGGCGCAGCTGCGCCTTGTGCACAATCTCAACCACATGCTCCAAGACCGCGGCATCCAGATCCCCCTTCTCGAACTTCCGGAACAGCGGCTTCATATTCTCCCGCGACTGCACCATGGCATTAAACGCCTGCCGACCCTGCAGACTCTGCTTGACCGAGACATCGCGCTTCGCCAGCGCAGCCTCCCACTCCTTCAGGACCATGGTAAAATACGAGGCCAACTGCCGAAACAAGAATTCCTTCCCTTCATCCTCCTTCGGAACCGTCGCGGGAATCTTCATCTCGACCTCCGGCACCAGCTCCAACGTCGTGGGAATCGGCCCGTCCGTCCATTTTTGTCGCTGCACCGCTGCTGCACCACCACCAGTGTCGGGCTCATCCTTCCTAACAACCCGCCAATACCGGCGCGCGCGCGCTTTCTCGCCCTCCCCAAAGAGCGTCACCGGTTCCCCCAGCTCCCGTAGCCGCTGCTTCACCTCCTCCGCCGAGAGTTCCTCGTCCCCCGCCCCGGCCCCAGCTGCCGTCTCCCCATCCCCCTCCGAAGGAGTAAGCTCCGGCAACCCCAGCCGTTTCCTCCGCTCGCGCTCCCGCAAAGCCTCGTCCTCCTCCCGCCGCCGCCGCGACTCCTCGGCCAGCCGACGCTTCTTGTCCTCGCGCTCGCGCCGGCGCGCGGCCTCTTCGTCCTCGGCTTTGCGCTTCTGGGCGTGTCGGGCGGCGCGCTCGGCGGCCAGGCGCGCTTGTTCTTCGTTGTAGGCGGTCAGGCGCGCGGCTTCGAGGTCGGCGCGGCGGGTGTATTTTTTTGGTTCGGTGGCGGGGGGGTCGGTTGGAGGGGTTGATGTGGTGGTGGCGGCGGAGGGGGTGTTGGTTGCTGGTGTTGGCGATGGGGAGGGTTTTTTGGCGCTAGCTTTGGCCTTGGAGATTTCTTTGGACATTAGGGCGGCGAAGTCCATGTTTGCGGTTGAGGGTTCATGTAGTAGATACAATCAAGGAAGGGATAAAAGTGAGGGACGGTGGGAGTATCAGGGTATCCTGTTCTCTGTACTGGAGACAAGGTGGAAGACGATAAGATTAGGTGATGATGGAACTGGGAATTGCCGCTGCGGCGGCGGCGGTGACTTCGCGCAGGGCGGTAGGGCGGTAAGGCGGTAGAGCGGAGAGGGTGAGGAGGGTGAGTTCGCTGGGTAAGGTACAGTCCAGGTTCCGTTCCGCGCATCCATCCATCCATCCATCCATCCATCCACTGCACTCACTCTCCAAGCTACATACGTACCTCTCGAGCAACTACAACTACAACACAACCTCAATCCACCGGTTCACCCTCTACACCCAGAAGACACACAACCCACCAAGTCAAACAACCGCTATGACCACCAACTAAGAAACCAAACAAAACCAACCACACACCCTTACACATTAAATCAACCTAACCAAGAAACCACCAACCCAAACCGCCAAAAATGTCCCGCCAAACCACAACCCCCTTCCACCTCAAACTCTTCTACCGCCAATCCACCTACCACCCCCTATCGGACTTCTCCCCGGCTCCCACCAGCTCCCACCCCGGCGACCGCACCCGCGGCAGTCTCCCCGCCCACCACCTCCAAATCTACACCTGGCCGACCTGCTCCCTGCGCGAACTCGCCCACCTCCTGACCTCCACCCTGCCGCACCTCCTCCCGGAGGTGCCCATCGGCACGCGGCTGAGCTTCCGGTTGATCTACCCGGACACCAAAGGCGCGGCGATGAATCTGGGCGAACACGGGCGGGGCCGGTACCTCGCGAAGGAGATGGGGAGTGTGGTGATTGCGCCGCGGGGGTATGATGATAATGCTGCTGCTGCTGCTGCTGCTGCTGATGATGTTGTTGTTGATAATCACGAGGAGAAGCGGGATAACGGGGAGAGAGGAGGTGGGCAAGGCCCCCGGGCGAGGGCTGCCGCTGCTGTTGGCGCATTCCGGATGAGTGGTGCGGATGCGGAGAAGACGTTGCAGGATTTTCGGTTCGTGATTGGTGATTACGTCGATTGCGCGATTGTGCCCCCGCTGGAGGATGGGTCGGTTGCGCCGCCGCCGCCGCCTGTTGGTTCGGGAGGAGGAGGCGGTGGTGGTGGAGGAGGAGGAGGAGGGGGTATGAGGGCGTTTCCTTCGGGCAGGGAGGAGAGATCGTATTTTGGACGGAGTGGGGGGAGAGGGGGACGCGGGTTTGGAGGTGGGCCTGGGGATAGGGACAGGGACAGGGAGAGGGAGAGGGAGAGGGAGAGGGAGAGGATTCCGCCGGGTGATTGGAGGCGCGGGGAGAGGTTGCCTGAGGGTGCTGGTGGTGCTGGTGGTGCTGGTGCTGGTGGCGGTGGTGGGTATGGGAGACGGGACAATGGGGGGAGGGATCGGGATAGGGACGGGGGGAGGAGAGGGTGGATGCCTTATTAGTTCGGGTGCTGGGGCTTTCCAGTGAAGCATTCTGGGGGTAGTGTGGGTGATTGGGATTGGCGGCGTGTACGATAGTGAGGCGAGTGGAATGGATTATACCCCGTTTCAACTGCTGTGGAATCAACTGCCTGTCCTGTTCAAAAGCTATGATACAGCAAATGCATACTCATCTTAAATGCTATGAGCTACCTACTCCAGTCCCAACTACCGAGCTACCAGCCTACAGGAGCATCCAAGATCCAACACTCGATAAAAACGAAACGAAATCAATTGCACCGCGGTATAATAGATACAACCCCCATCCTTCTGTCCTGCTATCACCACTCCATCAAACTCGTCAAATCAGCCCCTCTACCACTCCACAATGGTATCTCCCTTCCGCTTGCCGCGCAGATCGTATTTGCCCTGTCCAGGTTAGCCACTCCCTCCCACCCCCGAAAGAAAAACATACATCAGTGTTATAAGCCACATAGCCCAACGCTCCCGGGATCAGAGCCATGTACAGGAAAGAGAACCAGGCATGGCGCGGCGTCCACCGGAAGTACTTGTACCGGTTGGCGGTGAGGTCTGCTGAGCGTTAGTCACGGTCTTCGACGAGGACATTGTAGCCTGTCAATTCGAGCCTGTCGTTCGATTGAATGGAAAGCTGGGCGGGTGCCGTTCGAACACCAGCCGGGGGGGGGGTTCACGGACCGTAGTATTTCTGGAGGGCCGGGTCGAGGATCAAAGCTGTAGGAGGCGGTTAGTGATCTCGACGCAGAGCAATTGATTCGGGGGAAGCGAGGGACGTACACTTGCTGGGACCGGCCATGGTGGCGGATGTGGATGCGAATGCGAATGGGGCTGGAAAAGGTCACGGCTTGTGCTTGCTGCTGTCGCTACACTGACGGTGATGTCGCGGGTGAGGGAACGTCGTTGCGGTCAGGTGATCTGCATAGCATGTGTTGTGCTTAGTAATTATGCTGTGGATTATTTATGCTGTGGGTATTGCTGAGTCAGCGTGCTTATGATGGTGCACAGGCTGCAGGGGTTATTCACTAGATACTGCACAGTTCACGCCCTCCTCATTTTGAGCAATCGAAGCTGGTGCAGCACTAAGCAGCAGCATGTGAAAGACCGTGCCCGCCTCAATATCTTCGCCGATCTCATTATCCCGAAAATGGGAAAATAAGCTGTCCCAAAGACAGGAACAAAGAACAGAACGGTAACCCCACCGCCATGACGCAGTATCACAGGTTCTCACAGCAGTACATCCGAGGTTCCCTTTCGCCAGCAATCTTCGCCTTAAAATGATATCCCCTGCCCCTTGCACATCCACCTGAACCTACACCGACCACACCCGTTATAGACCACAGCACCAAAATGACGGACCCCAACAAAGGCGCCACAATCACCCTCTACTGGTACCGGTTCCCTCCCCAAAATCGCACCGCACCCCACACTAACCCCTCCCCTCCCCGAATCAAAGGCTCGCGCAATCCCGCTCCCACCGCATCCTCTGGCTCCTCGAAGCGCTGCACCTCACCTACGAGCTCAAGATCTACCATCGCGGCGCCGACAAGCTCGCGCCCCGCGAGCTGAAGGAGATCCACCCGCTGGGCAAGTCCCCGGTGATCACCGTCCAGCCGGCTGCCGCGGAGGGGGAGGGCAAGGAAGCCCCCAAACCCATCGTGCTGGCCGAGTCCGGCCTAATCATCGAATACCTCCTCGACCATTACGCCGCCAACGCCGACGCCCCCCTAATCCCGGAGCGGTATGCCGCGGGCACCGAAGCCGGGACGGTGGGCGGAGAGACCGAATCGTGGCTGCGGTATCGCTACTACCTGCACTACGCGGAGGGCTCGCTGATGCCGTTTTTGGTGATGCAGTTGGTTATGGACAGTACGTTGCCTTCCCGCAGATTCCCAGTTCCATTCCGGGAAGCTTGTTCCGAGTGTGAAGTACTGTACTAATCTGTGTGGCCGTGCGACAGCCGTCAAAAACCCGCCCATCCCGTTCTTCCTCAAACCCCTGCCGCGGGTGGTGGCCGGGCAGGTCGAGAAGGCGTTCCTGAACCGCAACATCGCCGCGCATCTGGATTTCCTCGAGGAGCAGCTGCGCTCGAGTCCCGGGGGCGGGCCGTACCTGTGCGGGCCGGTGCTGACGGCGGCGGATATCATGATGAGTTTTCCCGTGATCGCGATGGCGGGCCGGCTGTCGATGGAGGGGTACCCGGAGTTGAGCCGGTATGCGGAGTTGCTGCAGAAGGAGGGCGGGTATGTGGCGGCGTGTCGGAAGATCGAGGAGGTGGATGGGAAATTTGAGGCGTCTCTTTAGTTTTTGTATGTATGTGTGAATGTGTGTATGTTAGGATCGTAATGTAATGTCTGTCATTCAGCTGCGTTCATTTTGAGAGGATACTATGTATAGATAGTATAGTAGTACAGTATATACCCCACCCCCACCCTAGCTATATACAGCACGGCACAGCACGGCATAATCAAACCACAACCTGAACCCTAAGACTCCGCTATATAATCCAGAGTCAAGCCAAGCAAAGCCAAGCAAAGCAGAGCAAAGCAAAGCAAAGCAAAGCAAAGCAAGCCAGCAAACCTACAGCTTGAACTTCCTCGCAATCTCCTCCTCACTAAACCGCCGCGTCTTCCGCCGTAACATCTCCGCCTTTTCTTCCAGTGTCATCCCGATCTGCTCCCCCATGGGCACCAGACACTTGGCCAGATGCAGGTAATCCTTCCGGAGCAGGCGGATGGTGATCATGATGTAATCGATATTCCGGAAGACGAGGGCCTGCTCAGCGGCGTAGCGGCGGTGCTGGCGCAGGAAGGCGACGGGGTGGTCGCGCCAGTGGCGGCGGGGGTTGAGGTGGTGCGAGGTGTGGTAGCCGTCGTTGTAGCAGAAGCGGTTGCTCTGTTGTCTGTCAGTATAAACGTCACCTCGAAGGGGGGGAGGAGCGGGCAGAGGGAGCGCTTTCCCCCTCCCCTCAGCCCACCCCACGGCAAGGCAAACGTACCGCAACATCAATCAACGTGATACTACTCCGAAAATCCGAATCTGGGTCCACCTCATCGACCAGCGCATGCTGGCCCCAATTCCCCACCATCAAGCCCACCCGCAACTGCAACAAGGGCAGCAGCAACACACACAACGTCGGCCGCCAGCCGCCCCACGTCCACGCCGCCGCAATCATGGCGTACGTGCCTACCTCCCACAGCCCCGCTTTCGCCGCGGTGAGCACCTGCCCGCGCCGCAGGAAGTACGCGGGCAGCTCCACCCACACCAGGAAGTAGAAGCGAGCCACATAGCAGGCGAAATCCCGGGGGGAATCGCGCTGGTACCGCAGGGTGCTGGACAGGTCGCGGGGCCCGTTGCCCTCGACGTGGTGGTGTTTCACGTGGTGATAGAAGTAGGAGTTCCAGGTGTGGCCCATCAGCGGGTCGAGGATGTAGGGGAAGACGGCGTCGACGATGACAGCGAAGGGGTGGGCGCGGGTCAGGATCCCACCCATGTGGATGTGCTGGTGCATCATCAGGGTGTAGGTGCCGACGTAGTAGGATTGCATGAGCCAGTGCAGGAGGCCGTGCCACCAGTGGAATGTTCCGAAGAACAGGTACAGGGCGCTGGGGATGGAGGTCGAGAAGTACAGCAGCAGGTGCGTGAGCATCACCACGTCGGTTTCGACCCGTACGACGGACCGCGCGGCGCGGATGTACGGCTGCAGGATGCATGACACGAACATGGTGGGGAGTTGGGTGGTGAGCTGCGGCAGGTCCCAGGTCACGAAGACAGTGGGCGTGAAGGCGCTGCTGGCGGGGCTGTTGAGCGCGGAGAGGTGCGTGATGGTCTTTTGGGTTGCTGGGTCAACGTCCTCTTCTTCATGCCCGGTCGCCCCATGGGTGCCATTGCCATTGGCGTTTGCTGCACGAGAATTAGCTGGGGATCATTTGTTTAGGACGGGGACGGGGACGGCGACTGGGGGGGGGAGGTACGGTTTTTCTTCCCGGCGGCTGTGGCTGCGGCTGCTGCGGCCGCGGCCGGGGATTCCGCTTCCTTGAGCAGATGCTCCAGCACCAAACGGTCGGGGACCGTCAGGTTGGGGTCTATGAAGGTGGCTGGATCCATGCTTGTTGGCTGGAAGTGGGAAGCGGGAACAAATGCGCCAGCCTGGAGGACAGACAAGCTTTAGGTTGGATTTAAGATCCCCCCGGGGCTGATAAAAAGGGGGAAGATGATCAGAGTGGATCAGCCGATCCTTGGCATGTCAGATCGGTGGTGGAGTGGAGCTGCTGGAGCTGCTGGAGCTGCTGGCGCTGGCTGTCTGGACTATAAGTCGGGGAGTTATAGATGGGAAGTGCGGATACTGAGAGAACGTAGGAGGGAATGAGTCGAGACTGTCCGTATCTTCGAGTCGTGCTGGGCAAGGCCATCGCATCCCTCATGCTGATCCCTCCGGTCGGATCCAGTGTGGTTGTACTCATAACTTAGTGTAGTCATCAGATGATCCCATCAACCCTAATTTCATTGCGATTCCGGGCATTCGCAACCCGACTGCAGCTGCTTACCCTGTGGATAAGTAGTCCCGATTCGATCGGCCATGGAACTTAGGGACATGCGTTCCATGCATGGTTAAGCTTAAACCGGTGTAACTCAGATTATGCCGAGCAAAGCCAGGGACCGTTTGAGTGAGATCTGACTGCAATGGACGACGTCATTACTTTCCCCTCTCCCGTGTACCACCAAGTACATGTACCACCAAGTACTACTACTGGTACCACCTTAGCCCATAAGGTACTTCTGCCCTGTACCTTCCCTTCCCTTCCCTTCCCTTATAACAAGCCAAACTTCCTTCCCCTCTCGTCCCCTCAACACCTCAGCTCCTCCCCGCATTACACCCAACCTCACCAACTCACCAACTCACCAACTCA